GTGTGAAAAAGGTTGCAGAGTTAGTTTCTCACAATTCCCTAGGCCCGAACATCTGTCTATTCACTCTAACGTCTCGCGGAAACTCGACAAATACTTGGGAAGAGTGGGTGGAACACACACAAACACACGGAGCCAGTTGTGTTAGAGCAACAGGGGGAGGTGCAGCGTTGACACTGGATTCCACTTATGCAACTTTCTGGAAGAGCTCTCCTGAATTAAAGTCGAATTATTATACACATCGATTAGATGATTCAATCAAAAGAATCTGTAAAAATGATCTTCATGCAAAAGCACCACTTTTAAATCGTGTGTGTAGCAGAAGTGTGTCCATATATTTCTTGAAAATAGGTAATTCAGCATTTTTTTTAAATATCTTCGTCAACTTAGAGGGGGAAGCCCAACTTTTTGGAGCCCCTAAAATAAATTAACCCCATGCGTCTTTACTTTGGAATAACTTGCTCTCACTTGATTTTAAATGAAGAACAAGATTAATTAAGACATCAGAATATGCAATATCCTTTCTTCGGGTGTTTTATGTAACAGAGGGAGGAGGTCATGTGCACCTTGAAGTTTGAACCCGTATCTTTTGTGGCCTGTCTGCTCTCTCTCTCTCTCTCTCTCTCTCTCTCACAGAGGCTAACAGGTGATATGAAATTGCCCTGCTCACCACTTTTTGCTCTGACAGCTGTGTTGACACAAGTGGCTGATATACTGTTTTAATCTATATGGGTATTTTTAAAAAGGGGGGTGAGTTGATTGCAAATTTCTAGCATGCAAACGAGAGACAGGTTAAGCTGCTTAACAGTAGTACTAGTCAATCAGGAATTACATGTTAAATGAAGGACTAAGATTGACAGGTGCATATGTGCTTCAGTGTCACAACTTTTGGGACATGTCTCTGCTCCTCTGGGATCAATGCCTGGTGTAATATTGCAGTGTCAGCGGGGCATGCAAACCAAACAAGAGGGCAGGGTGTGTTTGAGTTGGGAAAGCTTGCACACAGATAAGGTCCACAGAGAGAGAAACCCTAAAAAGTCTAAGAGTAAACATCTAGCCTGACACCAGCATGATAAGGACTGCTGGGGAGGATGAGCTCCACAGTGAGGCTCAAAAGGCACATGTTTACACACATTCCACTCAGAGGTCATATGCAGACACCTAGGACCTGTTCTGAAAGTATAAAGGACCTTTACATTCTAAGGTAATGGGAGAGCAGCTCAGGTCACAAACTATGTAGACTTGGCTTGGAAAGCTGTAATGATTACTTAAACAACCCTTGCACACTATCCCAAGAATGAAACATGTCAGGATCTGCAGTGCAGCTCTGCAGGCATTGCCACGTTTCCCCTTCCATGCACAGCCTCATACAGTATTAAGTGTGTGTGTGTGTGTGTGTGTGTGTGTGTGTGTGTGTGTGTGTGTGTGTGTGTGTGTGTGTGTCTTACTTTTGCACTGCAGCTCCACCATGGCCTGGTACCACTCGTCCTGGTCCGCCTCGCTCTCCGCGGCGATGGCGAAGCTCTCGGCCCGGGTGTAGAGCACTATCATGTGCTTGTTCTTGGAGTCGGCCCGCTTGTTTATGTTGAAGCATGTCTCCAGAGCCAGTGCTTTCTTCGGGACGGGGGCCTTGCCGCGGAATTTCTTCTCGCTCTCGTAGTACTCCAGGCGCGCCGGGCCGCGCTCCGAAGCGGCGCGGAGGACGAAGTACCGCCGGTGCATGGACTTCTGCTTGCGGAGATAGCCGCTCTTCCGCACATCCTCGGTGCTCTGGATCTCGCCCGCTTGTTGGCTCTCCATAACTACCGACATCATGTTATTTCTCTCTTAAAAAAAACGAACTATTTTTTAAGTTTAGAGTGATAATTAATCCGCTCCCCTCCCTCTCTCCCACATCAACGCAGGCATGTGAAAGAGGGGAGGCTGGGGTCGGGTCGCTGCTACTAATAGTCCCGCCAGTTGAACCTGAACCAGGGGGCTGCAGTTGCGGTTAGTTCCCCCCTTTTCAAGCTTGTTCTTCTGGGTGTTTTTCTCTCCGGCCGGTGCAAGTTTTCCTCACAGCCGAGCACATGCGGCACAGCTCGGCGCGCAGCTCCCACTACTACTACTACTACCACTACTACTACTGCTGCTGCTCCAAGAGGTTTAATCCCATTTAGTGCACATTACACAGCACAGAGTCCATCCTGTCGGTCTGTCTGCGTCTCCCTCTGTGTGTGTGTCTGTCCCCCCACCCCTGCTGTCCTGCTCCGGTCTTCTTGTTGCTGTTGAGCAGCTACCGTGGAGCAGCAGGACTGTCACTCAGCGCTGTACTAGTATACTGGGTCCTCGGTGCGTTCAAGGACCGATCCCGAGCTCAGACAGCAGAGCTCCCGACGTTTCATTCGTGCATTCCTGTGCTCCAAATCCGGATTTGTGACCGATAGGTGAAATCACTAAAAGTAACTATACTGAAGATTTCTACAGTAATATAATGTATAATAGTAAAACATAATAAACCAATTCATCGAATAAAAGAATAATAATAATAATCACTGAATAAATAGTTGAAAGTGATGAATGAATGAAAATATAAATAAGTCAGGTTAAATTACTTCACTGCCATGGGGAAAGTGTTTATGCAGGTGCTTTCTGACATAATTAGAATAAGAAACTTAAATCTTATTTAAACCTTTTAAAGTGACTTTTATACTGTATAATTCCATATATTTGTGTTGTTGTATTTCACTTAATTTCAGACGACTTGGTGAAATACAGCTTTAGTTTTTAGAAATATGCAAAAAGTTAGCACAACCTGACATCCAGTAATAAATAACCTTTTAATCCTTTCATAATTGAATCACTATTTAATAACGCTTTCATATTAATACTCCTGATTTTTTTTTTACATATGTATATTTTCAAATGGTTTGAGCAGTCATGTATGTGATCTTATATCTTGTGTAATTTCTTTGTACTTATTTAACTTTTTGCAATTTTCATTTAATTTGTGTCTTTTTTAAATACTTTCTTGGGCTGTTATAACGTCAATGTATCTGTGTGTTTTTTCCCCACAAGTTCACTCAACCAAGAAGCAATATTTCCCACAGCACATGAAGGCAGCACGGCTTGCAGTGTGTGTGTGTGTGTGTGTGTGTGTGTGTGTGTGTGTGTGTGTGTGTGTGTGTGTGTGTGTGTGTGTGTGTGTGTGTGTGTGTGTGTGTGTGTGTGTGTGTGTGTGTGTGTGTGTGTGTGTGTGTGTGTGTGTGTGTGTGTGTGTGTGGAGTAAGATGTCACTGTTGGCTTTACCACGAGTCCATCCTGTTCTATTTATTGTAGAAATCCCCCTCTGTCCTGTATTCATTTATATTATATAACAATTCAACTTTCAAATCGCCCTGGTGTTTTCTGAACATTTACATTTTCTACACTTAATGCAGCAGGAGGTCGCATTTAAGCACATTTTAAATCTAGGTTACCAGTGAAACCATTCAATACAATGGTGCTTTTTATTGTTATTGATTCCTAAATGATGTATAAAGAGCAGATTAAGCTGTAATTGATGACATGAGGCTTTTGGAGACGCCATATTTATGCCACTCAGACTGGCTGAGTGAAACGACTTTGATCTGTGTCGACTGTCTGTCTGCAAACCTCCATCTCTCCCTGCTGCTTAAATCCCATCGTTGACACATGTAAAACATATCACAAATGTGCACGTTTAAGATTACCTCTGAATTTCAAATGGGAATAAATCTTTTAAAAAGGTCTTTTAATAGTCCTTCTGAAAGCTATAGAGGGTTTCTATCTTTGTGCGGTGTGCTTATGCAGTATGCATGTTGTTATGCAATATGGATCCAAAAGTAACCTTGCGGAGGAGGTCAGAGAAAAGTGGATATCAAGCGCCCCCTGCTGTGTGAGGTGGACAATACAGCTCTTAAAAATACACTTATTTTACCCACAAAGTGTACTTAACCCTTATGTTGTGTTCGGGTCTCCCGTGACCCCTTTCAAGTTAAAATTATATAATAACTACGCTCTAGTTTTTTTTATCGGAACAAGGCTTCATGATATCCTCCACAACAGCTAAACACTAGAAAACAGATTTTGACAATTGTTGCCAAGTCTGAAGGTCTCTAAAAATAAGAATTGGTGTTCGGGTCTGTGAAGACCCAGCTCAATTGTTTTGGGTGACTCGGGTCAAATTTGGCCCAATCAAGATTCATCTTTGACTTTAGACTCCCCAGCCCCACCCCCTTCATCCACTGTAACAATAATTGTTCGCAACATGCACCTGGTCTCTCCCCTCCCTCTGCCCCCCTCCCCCCACGGGAACTCGACCTTTCTCAAAGAATATGTACACTAACTAACACTTGAACCTGAACTCACATATGCACGTGTGCAATATGTGGTGTAATGTGTTTTGGGCCATAACATTAAATTACAACAGGATCGTACGGTTATGAATGCATAATAAGTTAGTTATGATGTAGTTAAAACAATATTGGATGATAGTCATTTTCTTTGTGTTTTGGACTGAGATAAATCAGTCCAAAACACTGTAACAGCTTTTGAACACAACACAAGGGTTAAAGTATAAAAAGTAAAAGCAATAATTGTGCCTTTATCTGTGTATATAATTATATTTATACATGTGACATTTCTAGATGGTATTGTTGCATCATGTAGCATTTTACTGTTGAAAAACAAAGTTCTGATGGACTGTTTGTAAAATGTTTAAATTATTTGACCCTTTTTTGACTTAAAGAGAAAGTCCACTTGTATAATGTTTAGAAATGCCTTTTGTTAAAAATAGCTACAGCTGTTTGATACATTTAGTGGAGTAAAATGACATCATTTCCCTTTTAAATGTAGTGGAGTAGAAGTATAAAGTACCTCAAAATTGTACTTAAGTGCAGTACTTGAGTAAATGTACTTAGTTACTTCCCACCTCTGGTTCTCCATGTCATTTCACAGTTTTGAAAGAGACTATAAATAAAGTAAAGAAACACCCAGAGCCAAACTGTCTTAAGAAGCAACAAACTGATTTTATGAACATGAATACTCGTCTTCACAAAGACACATTAATCTCTTTTCTTTTTGGCATATACGGGGAAATGAACTTCGCCTCCATGTCAACAAAAAACAAAACAAGAAAACATGATGGTCCGGAACGTGAAGCAATGACGAACTGTTTATACACATTTAAGTTATTCTGAAATGTCTTTTACATTCAGTAGAATCTCCTTGTAGCCCTCTAAGCGCATGCAGCCTAGGAAGTGGAAAACATACATTATCCTTCAAAAGGATGATGACTAATGCAAACATGTTCCACACACTCAACACGGAGAAAAGCCTGTCTCATCTTTAGAGGCTAACTCCCGTGCACCAGGAGGCTGTTAAGGCTGTCCTGTAGAAACTCACGATCCGGATCTTCCTTTTGGACGACTGACTCGTTTGTTTCGAAGACGCTGATGCACAGACAGGCTGGTTTTTAGCACTTTAAAGCAGGAGATGAAAGCAAAGTAGCAGCAGCAGCGACATGTGTGTGTGTTTTTGTTTCTGCAAAAATCATAGAGGCGTTGTTCTACTCTCGACTCCCACAGAGCCCTGAGGTGGCGTCTACTGGCACACAAATACCTTTTTTGACATATGGTACAAACACAGCAGGCGACCGATCTCAGACACACATGAATACCATAATTACATTCACACATTTTTTTGTTCCTCACTATAACACGTAAACACAGACAGAGGGAGGGGGGGGAGAGGCTCCCATAGAGGGGGAGAATACTCCAGAGGCATTGCAATGGCAGCGACTCCTCAAGTTCTCCCTTTTTTCCCAGAGATGAAGTAAGAAGAGAAGAGGGGGGGTCAGATGAAAGGGTTTCGCGACGTCCCTCTACTGGCGTAAACATTGCCCTGAAAGACAAGAGAGGAAGGGGGTGAGAACGGGCATAGGGGACTTCACTACACTTCCTGTTTGCAGAAAGGGAGAGCTTGCACAAAAATACCAATTAGCCCCTCTTTAATCCCCCCTACTTTTGTTTGCCAGGCAGTGAACTCACCGTAAACGGGTTCACCGACATCGGACGAGGGACTTTGGGCTGAGAGTCGGGCGCGGGGAAGGAGGCGAAACCTGAAACACACACACAGGACGAAACATGCTCAGTGGTGTGAAGACAGCAGCAGAGTATTGGTATTCCTGAGCGCTTCCTGGTTAACACTGTGGCAATAATGAATAATTTGGAGCGTCAGTGTTTGATCTGCAGCCAACGCACACACTGTACACGTCAAACTGCCACAGCTGCAGTGTGGGAGCAGGGTGTTCATTTTGAATGCTGAATATATCGATGAGATAAGGCTGTAATCTAATAGTTTGAAGCTGTATCCATAACGCTTACATTACAAACCACATATGAATGCTTTTTCTTTCGTTTGGCATGTTGATTCAATCTGCTTCAATTTGATATGTTGCAAATAAAGATTAAATTACACTTAAATCACTCAAATGATACTATTTGTAGAATTGAATCACCGTTAAATGCACTTTAATACAGGGGTATCTCTTGCACTTTATGCAGCTCTTGTATCCTCTCTTGCACTTTACATGTCGTTGCTGCTATATTGTATTACCACGATGTCATAAATACTTGTGTATGCTGCTCTTGCATATCATGTATTTTGTTTTTGCTATGTTTGTCAAATGTAAACTTCTTAAATGTTTTATGTGATGGAAATGAGCTCAAAGCTAAATCTGGCACTGTAACGCTTGACACATTTGAATGTTTACCGTGCATTGTCCCGGCCAAATAAACGGTTACATTCAATTAAATTCCAGTGTTGGTGATGTAGGATTATTTGACTCGTCATATCCAGACATTTCATATAAATCCAGAACATTGTAGAGTCCAAAATTCAAAATGTATTGCAAAAATAATACATGATTTTCCCATTTTACACGTTTTATTCTAGCAAAAATATTCTGCTTCCATCTCTACGGGTATTCACTGAGTTCCAAAAAATGACTTGCTCTCCAATTTGCCGCAAAAAATGTACATCAAAACAACAAAAGAATCATATTTTTCATGTATTCAAGTGTGATAGTGTCACGATCTTGGTGTTATGTCACGGTTTTAGTTTTGTCTGTCTGGTAATGTTTTACTGTTCTGTTCTCCCTGTCTCTTGTTTTCCTCCTGTGTCTGATTGTCTCATTGTGTTCACCTGTTGCCCTTGTGTTTCTGCCTCCCTTACCCAGCTGTTTCTTGTCCTGTGATTACCCCTCTATGTATTTAGTCTTGTCTTCCCCTGTGTGCCTTGTCGGTTCATTGTTTTCCCTGTCTCCCTCCATGTTGGTCACGATCGGTTTTTGGGTGATGTATACTCCTTGTGCTACCTATGTTATCCATGCCATGTTTTTTGCTCATCAGCTTTGTAAATAAAGCTCCTCTTTTTGTAGTCTGCATTTGGGTCCTTCCTTTTCCGCGATCTTAACAGATAGCTTTATAAACTATCATGAGACATCAAAAGCTTGATTTAAAAACCTCAATAGAAGCTTCAAATGTAAGGACATGCAGTACAGACCAATATGACTGTATATAGGGGAGCAGCAAAGATCACATTTTACTGGACGCCATTTGTGGCTCTACAGATCCACTTTGGTCCATATTGAAATATCTCATCAACTATTGGACGGACTGCCATTTCATTTTGCGCATATACTTATGCCCCCCTCAAAATGGTATATTTGGTGATCTATGATCCTTTGCAATCGTTTTTGACAAACATATAGTGTGTATAACCTATAGAAAGCACGTTTAATAGTCTACCTTACATGTATAGGCTGTTTGTCACATGATCCTGGTGAGTGAAGTCCACTATATTTACTATAACTCACCATAACTGTAATTAATATACACATCTGTAACTATGAAAGGCGCTCTTAAAGGTCCCATGTCATGCTTTTCCGGTTATTACCCGTCCCCTTGTGTGTTATGTAGCTTTTTGTGCATGTAAACGGTCTGCAGAGTCACAAACCCTCAAAGTACACCTGGGTTGCGGTCGGATAGTTCAAAAATCAGCTCCTAAGTTCTAACCCTATCTCCTATTCCTTGACCTCTGAGTGAAACGTCACGGGGTTAAGGGATAGTGGATAGGAGAATTCAAAAGGACTTAGGAGAAGAGACTGCGGTACTTTAGAGAATCCGAATGCACTTTCACTATCCGACGTGTTTATGATGCACCAGCGGACGTCATGTGTGCGTCTGCTGCTGTGGGGAAACTATGGAAACTACAGTTTTCTATACAGCGGACTACAACATGGATGTTTAATAAGAAGGAGGGACTCATCTAGAGACTCTGCACCGTGCTCTGACGCTGTTGCTTTGCTTTATGAACGTGGACAACAGAGAAACATATTCTTCATGACCAAAGTTGGAATTGAAATAAAAAAGGAAAGTGAAACTTATGCTCGTCACCCTCTCCCTCCGGTCCACATTAATACAAATGATCCCAATACGTATGATTGTATGAACTATTAAAAGATCTTAAAATCAATACAAATGTATTTATTATAAACGTTAGTCCTTAACATCTATCACTGTGTATATCACCATTCAAACATCTTTTAAAAGTTGAACAAACTCCACAGCTCAGTGAAATGTTGACTTTATTTGATCATTTCAGTAAAAACTAACGTTCATATTTCTCTTTTTGATTTTAATACTGATGAACGTTCAAAACAAAGCACTTTGGCAACTTACCACATACGTTTTAAAAAGCTTAATAACTTTCATGATATCATTTCTCGGTCATAATCGTTTGTTTCTGTGAACGGCCGACTGTTGAGTGACGGCAAATGCTGCGGCTGCAATGCATTGTGGGGCAGCATTTTCTCCTCTCCTTTCGGTTAGGGAGGTCCAGTGGTTCCTAAGCTAAAGGAGGTTATAAAGGAAGTTTGAAACCTCCTTTCCTTTCATTCTAGAGAATTGGAACGGCACTTATCATGGCTGCCACTGAGGGACTTCCGGGTCATTTCACTCCGTTAAGAAGGTTCCTAAGCTAAATGGACTATTGGACTGCAGCCCCTGTAGCGAGTAAATCTCTAACACAGAAAAGACCTGTCTATGCTGCCCCCACGCAGCAACCAGGACACCAGTAATCCAGCACACTCAGTCGGCTCCTCGAGTCTCAAAGGGCGGAGCAGCGAGCCCCGCAACGTCCCACCAACACGACACCCAGACCCCACACAGCATTCTCCTCTGTTTGTCATTGCTGGTTGCTAACAAACGCCATTGTAACACAGTGGGCTCATAGGGAGGGAGGGAGGGGGGGGGGGGGGGGGGACAGGAGCTCCAACAAGCCGTTTAGGACAGAGAGAGAATACACATACTATACAGAGATGCTGTATGAGAAACCAATGTGAGTTTGGAACATTGAACAATGTAAATCTATTCTAGTAGACCTCAACAATGGAAGTATGATCAGTAGAAATGGCCATGACATGGGACCTTTAAATCTATTTTCTATGTAAAGACGCCACCTTGGACTATGACAAATAAAATCTAGAAGATTTGTTACCATTGGATTCCTGGTTGCTGGCTGACTCATGGTGAAATGCATTCTGGGTGTTGAGTGCCGGGTAGGAGGCGGACGGAGGAAAGACGGGGGTGGGCGAGGTGACAAACTCACCGGAGTCACCTGCAGAGAACACACACACACACACACACACACACACACACACACACACACACACACACACACACACACACACCACACACACACACACACACACACACACACACACACACACACACACACACACACACACACACACACACAGTGAGATCAGGGAAGTATTTTTATAATCATTTCTGTATTTAACATGGAACCCGAGAGGAAACAGAAACAGTAATAAGCTATATGAGTGGTCAAATACATACTGAATACTTAAATACAAATATTATTGAATGAATTATTTACTGGTACATATCAAATTGTCAAACCTCCAGTTGTTTATTCAGAAATGAGGAATAAAGTTTGTGATATCAGTTATAACTATGTGCTAAAATGAACAACTGCTAATAAACTCAGCACTGCTAAACTCATTGAATTGTGTCAAAACTGTTTTTGCCAGCGTATCAACATTTGGTTTGCCCCAGATATTTCATTTAAAAAGATATGAACCACATTTGAAAGCTGGCACCTGAGCAAATATTTGCTATACTTAGCAAGTGTATTCAAAAATCTAGTATCCAAATATTGACTCATCAGCTGAGCAAATATTTGGATCATTTAAACTCTTAAAGAAATAGATACTTTTCCATGTTCTACCTAACAGTAAATAAAACGAAAATCTTACTGTTAGATCTTAAAAAACTATTCTAGATAGAATCATTTTTATCTTTAAAAAAAAAAGGGCTTGAGTATTGCAAAGGCTAATCTCAGAAAAACAAAACCCTTTCCTTATAAAAAAAAACGTTGGCAATAAATCCGCATATACATTTTTTTAATTAACGTATAAATTCATTCCAATAAAAAAAACACTTGCAGTGAGCTCCCCTCCTCTGAAGCAGAGCTTAACAGAGCGACGTGTGCAGACCCTGAACATGAGCCTCACCTCCTGATGAGCTGCTGAAGGGGTTACTGGGGGAGAGAGCAACGGGCTGCTGGGAGGCCGAGCTAGAGCTGAATGGGTTGGGGAAATCTGAGACAGAGAGGGGGGAGAAGAGACGGGGGAGATAATTCCCACTGTGGGGGTGTACAGGGTGCATTCCTGTCTATTCAAACCAACACTGCTCAGATGCATCTTAATTAGGGGTGTTGGACAGAGTTAGAGATGAATGAGCAGATCGTCAACGCATAGCAGGAGGCAGTGCATGCTGGGTACCTACTTGCAAACGTTTGGGAGCCGGAGACTGTTTCGACACCGGGGGAACTGGGGAAACGTAGAAAAACACATTAAAAAAGGGCTTCACACGCAGGGAATTTATGTTGAACAGAAGCTGATTTGACACGTTTTGTTCTCCGAACCTGGCAGGAGTGGAGCTGGATGACAGCCTGTTGCCGAAGAGGGCGTTGTACTGCGGAGGGCCAGCAGGTGGAGCTGCGTACAAGCGTTTCAAACAGAACACAATATGACCTCAGGGCTGTAATGAGCGCTAATTCAAGAGATCAAGAGCTACTTTGATCTTAATGTGTGTAAAAGAGTTGATCTTAAGCGTGTAAGTCACCAGATGAACAAAAGCGCAACAAATCCCCCTGAATAAAATGTCCTCTCTGTGTGTCTCGATATGAATCAAAGTGAGCTGGGGCAGAAAATCAATAACTTGCTTTTCTCTGCCAGGCAGGGGGGAGGCTGTGATGAAGGTGGAAAGGAACAAAGATTATTGTATGAAGCTCAAGGGCTTCTCACATAAATCCTGAGCACTTCAAATACAAATAAAATCGCCCACCTAGGTTATTAGAAAAATAGGGCTGATTCTTAATCGTATCAACAAGGTCCTTTACATGCGACTGTGCTCAATCCTGAGTAAACACAATAAACAGAATTCAGCTGCTAGAAGCCTTGGTATTTGGAGTAAGGATGTTATGCAACAGAGTTGAGCTGGCCGTGGCAATCTGCATCACACACACACTCACACACAAACACACACACACGCAACTTTAGCTCAGCCTCTCTATCTATCTATAACCTTGTGGTAGAAGAAAAACTCATCTAGTACAAAAATGTAAAAAACACTTAATTCCAAGTACAATACCTCCATGAAAATTAAAGCATGTATGACTGAAGTATTACAAATGAAAACACTTTTTACACAACAAAGAAAACTTCCTAAGGAAAGAAGAAAAAAACAACTTCTGCCACACAATGTGTATTCTTTTTTTTGTGGAAATGTTCTCTAATTTTTGCTTTTTATATGACATAGGGCCCAACTTGCTACAGCTTTTATTCACAAGGTTCGGAGCCAATGGTTAAACCTTTAAAATGTGTAATACTTTATGAGCTAAATTTGTGTTTTCATCAAAAGCAGAAATCCTTTTATTTGTCCAACAGTAGGAAAATTGTACTTGATATCCTAAATCGTACATCCTTTTAGCAAATATAGGTGTGAAATACACTTTAGCTGACAGTGTACTGGAGTATAAATATACAGGGTAATGCCTGTTATTAGAAGAAAATCCGAGAAATCAACCCACAGCTATAACATGAGAAGAACATTTAAAGTATCTAATTACTACCTAAAATATTTCCTACCTGCAACTGTTGGTGGCTCACATGAGACGCTGTCCAGATGCGACACCGCAGCGTATCTGTCCGAGGGGTTGGAGTTGCCGGCTTGCGTTGTCGCCTGGCCCGCGTTTCCAGGCTGCTGCTGGGACATAGAGTGGGGCAGAGAGTGCTGCTGAGGATGGTTCAGACCTCCAAAGTCCACGCTGAGAGATTTGGGGAAGGCCCTGAATGGCCCAGTGGTCCCTGAGGCCGATACCGTACGACCTGAGAGCGAGAAACAAGACTGGGCTTCAGTGCAAAGACACAGGATGAGAGGTTATAGACAGATAATTATACAGAATAAGCAGGTATAGGTCTAAGCAGGTATAGGTATAAGCAAGCATAGGGCTGAGGGAAAAAGTATATAAATATGTGTCAAATGTTTTCAGTCTACAAGGCAACATGAGCAAAATACCTTAAAGCACCCAGAAAAAAATACGTAAATTTGAACATACAATTTGATGACAACTAGGCAACTGATAAGGAAGAGCATTTGATATGATTGAAAGCTACAAAACAAAGTGTTACTTGAGGGTAGATAATTTTGTCAAAATACTTAAATTAAAGTTTTTTCATTGAGCTAAATCCTCATCGATATTAAAATGATTGTATGAAAGGATATTGTTATATATCAAGTTATCAATATGACAAAAATAAACAGAGTAGTCGTTTTCATGCTAGTTCAACATTGCCATGCTATAGTCAAAGACAGGATTAGCATGTAGGTTAAGCATTATCAAAAAGATTCTAAAAAGCACAGCAGCTAGTCAGCATGTTCTTGGACTGTTTTCAAAAGCGCCAACCACAAATATACAGTTACTAGACAGTTACAAAGGCAGGAAATGTAAGTCTTTGTAGGTAGCAAGCTTTCCACAAACATTAGCCACAAAGCATGCTAGTAGTATCAGCCAAAAATGTTAGCATGGGGGTCGAGAGATATAAAAAATGTTTGTGTAAATCCAGCTCCCTCTGATAGTGGAGGAGTTGGTGACAGAAACCAGACCAGACTTGATTCAGATTATCTGAAGATATGAAGCATACTAAAGTCAAGCTGCGTATTTTTGGGATGCGGTCATGTACTACTCCAGATAGGCTCCAGATAGCGCCTATCTCTGCTAGCATACCTGAGCTTCCTGGAATACTTGTCTGGGATGTGTATCGTGGGATTACAGCTGTGTCCTACATAGTCTGTAAGTGTTTCAACGCCAACATGGAGTGAAAAATCTGCTGCCCTCTTCTTATGGGGGTGGTAGCGGCTAAAAATAGAATTACTTTAAACTTTTCCCCTAAGGGAACAGTGTGTGTGTGTGTGTGTGTGTGTGTGTGTGTGTGTGTGTGTGTGTGTGTGTGTGTGTGTGTGTGTGTGTGTGTGGTGTGTGTGTGTGACCCTCCCAGGCTTCAAATCTGGCTTTGAGGAGGGAAAACTGATTGATGAAGAAAAATATCAACCACTTTAATGGTTAAAGTGCTGCGTTTTCTCTTAAATTGCTACTAGCATGAAGCTAATTCAAATGCATGGGAGGCATGGCCTTCCAGCATGACCCATATACTGCCCATTTATTCATTATGAATGATACAGCAAGGAAGAGCTTATCGATCTCAGCCATTCAGCACACACTCAAATACGTCGGTTTGTGCTGCGTCTTACCTAAAGTGAAGTGGTTTTTGAAAGAGCTACTGGCTAAGAGGTCGGGGAGGAGAGGATAGTGTGATGAGGACAGACAGAAGACAGAAGAACAGAGTTACACGGAGGAGAGAGATTGTCACTCGCGATGTGTGAAACGGTTTCCCTGCTGTTATCTAATGCCAGCTGAGTAGCCCGTTGAGCTATTTATGAAGAGCAAACCGAGTGGGCTAGATGATGACATAAACCCACAGACCCATGAGATGGTTAAACACAGTCAGGATGAAAATGATGCCCGCAAGCTAAGGCTCTCTTTCTCTGTCCTTCCCAAAGTGACACTTACAGCCCAGTGATGAGTGGACATGTTGTCAGTGAGAATCAGCGAGAATATCTGCATGTCCCTGACAACCCGATGACACTGTGCACTTGCAGATTTGACAGCTAGAGGCCTTTAGAATAGAATAAAGTATATTATATATATTTAGTATCAATTCATCTGGAGGAATCACTTTCATTTTATCACATTAAGTGCAACATATTGACACATTTCTTTCCAGGAATTTATGAAAGCTGCTTATATTTTTCAAACTTTTATGTGTTTGTCTATCTCTAAATACTTTCTGACTTCTTTAGCCTGCCTATCGCTCTCAGTCCCAACCCCATTGGTTCTTCCTTAAGGCATAATTCAAATATGCTTTGATTTTTGTTTAAAAGGCAAACAAAATTCTTGAAAAGTTTGAGCACTTTAGTTCTCAGAAAATGTTACACAACCATACTCTTTGTGAACTATAACCAAATAACCCCCTCTGTATTATTTTGTCCTTTTTCTTTGTATATATTGCACAATATATTTTTGATTTATGTGGAATTTGGTAAACTCATTGTGTGTGATAAATGTTTTCCAACTTGATTGAAACCAAGGAGGAATAGAAAACATGGCGGGACACACCTGAGGGCCGCGGGAGGGCGGGGAAAGAGGGAACGTGGCTCTGAGCTCCAAGCGCTGACGAGAGGGACCCCGGCCGCTGTCTTTCTATCCCGCACAGGGTGGGATCTATATTATGGGAGAGATATTAGACAAAGAAAAGGGCAAATAAGTAAAGGGTGTGATCGCATCCAGTCCCGAAATATCAACTCCTCTGACTGAGATCGTCCTCCAACCTTTGAGAGAGGGGTCTCTGAAGCTCTGGGAGCGCGACGGACGAGCGGTGAACGCGTCCGTCCGCATGTCGGCAGGCGAGATCGCAGGAGCTCGATCCCATAACGGCAGCTGGGACTGAGACTGGAGGACGAGAGACAGCAGGACAAAGAAAGAGGAGGCAGATGGGAGGTAGGGAGAAAAACACAAGGCAGAAGTAGTGAGTCTCTTTCATGATTTCTCATAATTCATAAGCAGCCGCTTTGATGTCGAGGCTACCTGGCCCTCTCGCTGTCCAACCCATCAGTGTTTTTGCATGTAGTTGAATTCCAGGTGGTTTCCTCACCTTCTATTCTAATACTTCTTCTTTTTTTAACCCTCTTTGAAATACTTTCACTTCCTCTTCTTCAACCATACCCACCCAGTTTCAATCTTAAATCCTCTTCCTCTCCCTTTCTTGTTTTGTTCAATCCATTACAATCATGAAACATTAGGCTCTCTCACCAGTGGCCTTGTGGACCTGGCGTTTGGGGGCAGGTTATGTGAGGGGGCATGGCTCGCTAAGGGACCGTGGGAAGGGGGCACTGCCTGGACCCCCGGGCTCCATGGACCCTCGACATCTCTCCGGTTCTTACTTTTGGAAAAATGCCTGAAAGAGACAGGTTATTTAGTACCGTTGAAATGAGTCTGTGCCAGTGCCTGGCCTCGTAAAGCACAATCAAGGCTTGACATTAAGTGAGTTACACACCTATCGAACAACATGACAAAGAACATTTATTCAGGGAAAGTAAATGAAAGCAGCTATTGTTCTTGAGCTAACTTTTCCAAAACATTTACTGTTTCTCCATTTGAAACAGTAAATGTCTAAATTTGGAACAAACGTTAGATTAGTTGTTTGGAATTCATTTTCTCTGTTGTGCCCCTTTTATTTAGAAACTGAAACAATTGAAAGTCCAATTAACAGGTAATGTATCTGAATTAAGAACTCTGACAATGATTAATTGAACCTAAACAAGCAAAATGCCGTATCAAGACTCAAGAGTCTACAGCCTTGCTTTGTGAAGCTGTACCGAAACTCAGTGTGCTATGAGCTTACATGCTAATGTCAAATGCTATTAAGGTAACTATAGCACTTATAACCTTAAAAAGTAATGTTCCTACATACAATGCAGCTAAAAAACGCTTTACCTCAAATTGTTATCATGAAAATGCTAACATGCTAATGTTAAGCGGGTATGTTTACCATTTTGTTTTAGCAAGATAGCATGCTAGCATTCTGAAATAGCAACAGTCAAATACAGCTGAGCTGAGGCTGATGGAAATGTAATTTGTTATGTAGGTATTTGGTCGTTATCGGAAGTTTGGACGAAAATGTGTTTACTCAATGATGGAGCTACGTGCTACAGAGCTAATTGCTAATATAAGCATGCTCATAACATAGTAATATTTAGCAGGTATGATGTCAACGATCGCTGACTTATTATCGTTGTTGAGATATTTCAATAAAAACAAAAAATGTCAACCTAGTGCTAGCACAGGAGGAAACTAGGAATATCACCAAAGCCATAAGGAATAATTCTCTAGGACCATCAATGTCTTTTGAAAATGTCATGACAATTCATCCAAGAGAAGGGTTTGAAAACGTTTCAGGAAAATAGTATTTCTGAAGATACCACTGTAGGCTATTGATTTCCCCCCTATTTTCTGACATTTAAAACATCACATATTTGAATAAATAAAAAATAATCATCAGATAATGGCAGTCCAAGTCACCTCTAGGCTTGTAATCACATTAGCTTATGCTATCAGTTATGCATACCAAACCAAAGTTCTCACACACTTTTTCTTCTCAAATTTGTCCTGAAGGAACTCTTTGAACTTCTGAGAGTCCTTCATGTCTGGGCAGCTGTCCGTCTTTGGGTCAAACACGCAGAGCCATGTCCTCCTCCCAACCTAAACACACATATCGCCAGAGAACAATTACAATTGTGACAATTTTGCAGGTCATGCAGCACCCAAAAAAGGGTCAGGGTAATCTCTCACAAACAGAACATCTCATCAGTAATTCGTTTTTGATTCAAGAGTGCCACACAATATATAACAGCCTGTGACTCATGATTGGCCGGATCTCTCTTCAGAGGATGATGTGGTGACGGTACACACCTCTGCCTCTCCTCCCCATTATGCTTGACTCACCCATACACGAATCCTGGCCAAAAAGCAAGCTCATAAAAGTGGCCAGCACTTATTTTGATGGCCTGAAACACTTCCACCGTTTATTTTGTGTGATATAAACTCAGCTGTTGTGCTGCCCACACCAGTGTTTCCTTAAAATGGGTGCTGTGTGGAGAGGCTTTTAATAAAGATTGACATAAAAAAAGGGAGGGTAGCGAACAGAAAAACAATAGAAAAAACTTCAACAAAGTCATATTAAGATCTGGAAATAGATCTTGGTTTGGGTGGGACCAGAGAGGGCTGGTCCTTTTGTGTCCTGGCAGAAGTATTCTTCTGAAGAAAAAGAGCCTGACAACAAAAGACTGGTTCATCTGGTAGCCATAAGGGAGGTTTCAATATTCCAGATCAGAACCAGAAAGGGACTTTACAGTAACACTGAAGATGAAAACACAGACCAACAAGCTTTGGTACTCGTTTATTGACCTCAGGTGACCTTACAAGGGTCAGAAGACAATACAAAATACATAAATGCATATTTGTGAACGTCACTCACCTCGTTGCCATGATTTTGAAGGAATTCCACTTCCTGTTGGGAGGAAGGTTGTCATGGAGATAGACTTGACTCGATGGGGAGGGTTGAGGCCTCTCCTGGGAGAGATGGAGAGAGGAATTTGGAGTAAACAAAAAAAAGGAGGCAAAATTAAAACTGTGTAGTGATTCCTCGCCTCTGAAGACAGGATAAGGGGGCAGAGCAGGTGGGAGAGGAAGCATTTTTCATACCGTGAACTTTAGAGGGCAGAATCGGTGTGAAATAAGGTGCCTTGTGACAGAAACCCATGTGTTTACTAACCAGAACCTCTTATATCTCCATGCTGGGTACACAAAGTGGGACAAACGGCTGTGTGTATGTGGATATTGCGCAATGAAAGTGCTGAAACCATGGTCTTCCAGTGTGTGAGGGGAGTAACATGCGGAACAGATGTGACAACACACACACACACACACACACACACATATATAACACACGTATAACACCCACACTGGAGAGAAGAGTAGAAGGAGGGGGGGGTTAGTGTCAAACCTGCACCATGACGAAATTAAACGTAACTCAGAGCTGGAAAATGACCAACTAGCGGTCTGTCGTTTATGAAGCTGTTGGAAGACACGCATGAGAGAGAGAGAAGAGAGAGAGATAGAGAGAGAGAGAGAGAGAGAGGAGAGAGATAGAGAGAGAGCGAGAGAGAGATATAGAGAGAGAGAGAGAGAGAGAGAGAGAGAGATAGAGAGAGAGAGAGAGAGAGAGATAGAGAGAAGAGAGAAGGGAGACACTGCGTAAATTAATATCTGCACAAACTCCCGGCTGTTGCACAACACTCCCCCTAATAAATAAAAAAACATGTTAATCTGGGTGTGGTTGTGGTGGTGCATTCTCCCGGCCTGTCACTTTTTAAAATCAGCAACGCAGTAAAGGAAGGAGGCGCGGCGGAGGTTTTTTTTTTTTTTTTACTCACAGCATTCCGGAGCACGACGTGCAGACGAAGCTGCCCACCGTGATGTCGGTGTAAAGTCACCCCGGGCTGGTTGCACTCGAAGGCAAGTGTTTGTTTACTCCAGACTGGGCCAGCTCTCGGACCTTGCGGGCGCATATCTCCTGGTTGTCCGGTGCTTTTTCGGTTCGACATGGTATCCTGCGGTGCCCGGCTGACAGGTTCGGTGTATAGCCGGTAACCCTCCGCTGTCCTCCACCTGAAGCCCCCTATGTTTTTTTTGTTTTTTTACTACATGGAGCACTTCACAGCCCGCATAGAGGCTTTATGCGGCTACAACCAACGCAAGGCTACACAGAGGAGAGGCATGTTCAAGATAGATTCAATTAGCTGCACATACACCGGAAGTACCGCGGATTTCCTTCAAAATAAAAGTAGAAACAGGTGACGCTTTGCTGTAGGCCAACTCTCATTTTACTTTCAGGTTGCCTGTTTTCTTTAAAAAGTGTGTTCCAATTTAACACTGGTTATCTCATCACAATTGTAGTAGGTCAGAGTGTGTTTATTCAGCTTTTTTTCTGATTACTTTGACATGAATACACATGAAAATGTCAGAGTTTACGGGTAAAACAACTACCTGCAAGGTCAAAGTACATCAGCATTTTGAAGCTATAAAACCTGCCCTATTCATCAATGTGTTGATCAAAAGTGTTAATGCAACATTATTTGCATATAGGCTTCTTTTGTATTCTTGTTCCTTATAATTTAATCAAATTGAGATCACCACTGTTTAACTACTAATGATGTTATTACATCTTGTATCTTTGAAGCACATTGAACATGCACTATCCTGTATAAAGGATGCCTGACATATAAAGTTATGATTGACTGATTGGTTGTCTCATTGATGGTTCACTGACACACACTGCTTTTATTGTATCACTTAAACAGCAAATGTCAACAGCCATTTGCAGTTGTCATGTTTGATAGCATTCATTTTGGCTTAAACATGTAGACTAAACTCTCATCTATCTCAGCATCACAGATTTCATTCAAAAACAAGTGGTCTGTTTATGGACTATCATGCTGTTTGATGCAATATTGTACCCAAGACCTGAATATGTTCTGTGTAGCATACACTTTGACTGGTAATTTAATAAAAAAGCTATTTTTGGTCAGTAAAATTATACATGCCCAGTATCTGACAGTTAGGAGATGACAGGAAACAATGGGGGGAGAGATAGGGAATAACATGCAACACAGACCTTTGACCGGACGCGAACTGAGGAAGTGGTCAGCGGTTTATGGCCAGTGCCTTAACCCCTGAGTCACCAAAGCATCCCAAAATGCACCTCTAATATTTTTAATAATTCAGTTGATATACGTGTGGTTTACATTGTTCATACCCAACAATAACCTTTGCCCTAGTGAGTGGGTTAATCCTAGTGAATATATATTGTTTTAAATCTGTGCAGCTGTGCGTTAACTGCCCAGTCATAAATGTGGATGGTAAGAAAGCCCTGACTGAGTTTCCCAAGTCAGGAATACATGTGCCATAGGTCATGTCTTGTATTTTCTCCATATTTAGCCTATTTATATTTTGTGTTGACAACCTAGAATAAGTTAAATTGAGTTTATGACATTTATATAAACCAGGGTAAATAAACAAAAATGCATTCATCTTAAAAACAACAGATATATAGATGCTTTGTACCAAAATGATGTACCAGCTAATTAACGTCTGTAGTCCCTATGCCAGCCAGACTTTTATTTTGAAAAATCTGTAATACCTGACATTCTGTGTGGGTTGACACTTGGACAGGCGCGTAGGGAATCTCCTGTCAGAGAAAAACAAGAACCTGTCGATCAGCCAAGTTTTACATCGTCTAAGAATCGTTGTATTACTCTTTAAGATCCGACTATTTGTCCTGAGTGCCTCACTCTGCTGCGCTTTCTCTGTGCGCCATTTACGCACAACACGCCCCCGTATTTTTGGCGCAGCGCTCCTGACACTCCAGCGCGCTCTGGCAAGGGGACAGATTATTTTATGGGAGACAAGAACAGCTTGGGAAAGCGGAGACAAAGTAAATAAGTATTGATGAATAATCGATCATATCTAAAGTTTGTACAAAGTAAACATATGTTTTATAGACATACATGTTTGAACAGTTTGTTTCTGGTGTCAGTTTCTTTTTAAACCTGTTCTTCTTGGCTGTATTCCCATGGGGTAATGCCATAATTTTAAATACAGGTTTTTACAAATGTCTTTGTCGTGAGAGAACATCTCCGGACTATTTATTTTGATGAAGCAACTAAGCAACATATCTAACTACGCCCCTTATGTGACGTCTCATCAGTTCAGTGGTGAGTGAATGCATCAAGGAAATTAGATTTTTTTTTAAAGATAGCCTCACAGAGAAAACAAGATAAGATCCTTTTCAACGTGAAGCAAAGTAAAGGAAGAAATCAGTCACAGTGTTTTTATGTGAACTGCAGTGGCTGTGGAAGATCAGCAGGGGGAGCCACATACAACATGAGGTGGATGGAAACAGATAATTTAAATTATGTGTTTGCATTTCAACACAAAACAAAGCAGAACATACAAACAATGCTGTTCATCCTCTGTAAGTACACTTCCCTGCTCAGCATTGAACCACAGGTTGCATGGTGTCTGACTACACGCTGTGGTGATGATGGCAACATGCAGATTGCTTGTGTAATGTTGCCCAACACGTTGTAAGTGGTTGTTTGGCTTTTTTGTGAGATGATGGAAGCCTCTGTCTGCCATAAAATGAATAAAACACTTTTTCAATATCTCATAATTTTGATGATTTTTTCTGAAAATCTCATTGTTTATTTCTGAATTAGTACGTAATAATACTCATTTGTAATTACTGTCCCATATTAGTCTGTATTAATTTAATTAATTGTATAAATAATTTCATATTTTTAATTAGTATTTGGAAATATACTTTTTTTTTTAACTTAGATTCTCATTGTTTTTAATGTATTATACCACATTTTGATTAATTTAAGCCTTACCTTTGACTTTTATGTATACCGTTATATTTATCTGCTTAGTATTGAAATGATTATGTTACTGTATCATATTTTTGATTCATTATTTCATAATTTTTATTAAGTAAGTTATAGTTTTCACTTATGCTTGTTTTCACCATAGTGTGTTTCTTTCATATGTTGCATTATTTATTTCCCTTATCGTCGCAGGATAAGCTTCCACTTTAGATAGATACATTTTCAGAAGGCTTTACTTCCTTTTTCACCTCTCAAAAAAAGAAACCAAGAAGGTTGCCAGACAAGAATACACACCCAGCCTCTGCATGTGTTTTACACTTCACTGAAGCTGAAAAGCAGAATACACAAGCAGCAAAAGCAGAAACCAAATATAATCCACATGTGCCTACTGTAGAATGATATCATTATCAGAGAAAAGTACATCATTACACTCCATTTTCAATATGATTCACCAAGTAGATTTAGACTCAAAGTTATATTAGAGACTTTTTAGTGTAAACCTTTAATTTAGAGAATTTCCTACCACAATTTGCCATGAGTAAGAAACCCGGAAATAGTGTGTGTGTGTGAGGGGGTTGGACCTCGTGTATGTGTGTGTGTGTGTCAGGATAGAGAGAGAGAGAGAGAGAGAAAGATAGAGAGAGTACTCCAGTCTCTGGAAGGAGAAACATCAACCGGTTTCCATCTGATTTAATCTTATTTATTTGGGAATACACATCGATCAATAAGGATACTTCCTTGCAGAGGGAACTTTGTGCAGCATCCTTTCTAGCGGAAACGAGGACTAACTTACTTTTTATTTCCAAGGATATAATTATATGATCATCTGCGTTCATTCACAAGTGGTTTTGTGGCTCCTCGGATGCGCGAGGCACACGGTGTCCCTTCAGAAGAGAAAAAGCAAAAACAGGACGAGCTGCGGGAGGAATACAAATTATACTTTTGAAAGAAAACGCTCCGAGAGGGAGAAGAATGAGTAAAAAGTTGCCGGTGAGGAGCCTTAAAAAAGCGAAGAGGAGTCAGTGTGTTCTGTGCCAGGCTGCTGTCAACTTCCTGAAGATTCAAAGACATACAGAAAAGTGTGATCTGCGACTATAAACGCAGGGATGACAGTCAACTGGACTTTGAGGAGTGTTTGAAAGACTCCCCCCGCTTCAGGTAAGAGTTCACCTGTGCTTTAGTGCTAAAAGTGAAGTAGCCAATCAAAAATGAAGCAACAACACATCAGAAAGTGTGTCAAATCACCTTCTGGAGTTTAAAATGATGCAAAAAAGAAGCGTACACCTCACTCTTCTGATACAAACCCAACATTGTATTCATTTTTTGGATGGTCTTTATGCAGAAGCCTCAAAATTACTTTTAATGCATTAAATGGTTACCTAAGAAGTCAACTTTGACAGTCAGCAGCCCCAACCCCTCATTATCCTGATTCAAAATCAACATACTTCCAATTATATTCCTTTTTCGGAAGGTTTTACATGCAATAGCCTTGTTTAAATGGTGCGTAAGTATCCAAGAATTACTTTTAAGGCATTAATGTTACCTTAAAAGTCAATTGTGTTGGTCAGCAGCATCTTGTGGGTCTTAGCTCAAGCCATGTTCTATCATAGCAAGTGTTAGGTGTCAATAAGGGGGAATGAGAAGCTAAATGCAGGCCTTCAGGGCTAAAAAACCCTGATCTGAGGTCTGCTCTGTGTTCAATTTTGACGTGTCATTGACACACCGGAAGCCTAAACCTATTGTCACTCAACATCTCACTCATACAGATGGGATTTAATTAGGGCTGCTCAATGAATCGTATTTTAATCGCAATTACGATTTTGGCTTGCCAACGATTATGAAACAACATAATCGAAATAAACGATTAATTATTATTATTTTTTATTATTGGTTTTTCAGTTGAATTATATTTAAAGTTCAGGGTAATCACTGTTAAAAACATACTGGTAAAACATTTTTTTTCAATAAATGGATGTTTCAAAGTAAATGGATAAGCGTTTTTAATAATCGTGATATCAATTATTGACCCAAATAATCGAGATAATGATTTTTGCCATAATCGAGCAGCCCTAGTTTTAATATCACCTTGACTTGACTTACTTCAAGCCTTCACAATGTAATTAAAAGCCTCTAGTGTGCCTAAATGCTGTCAATATTGATCTGCTGCATGCCAGCTAGATTCTTCAATCAATCTTCTTTCAACACACGTCAACATCTGGTGTAATCAAAGGGAAGTGTCCTCTAAATTGGTTTTGCAAGCGGCTCTAGAGAGAGTTTGCAGATTTTGGGTGTGCCCTGAAGGCTGTTGGCATCCTGCCTGAGTCACAGTAGCTGCTGTCTTCTCCTCCAGCTGATTTGGCATGTTCCCGTCCCAAAGCCTCGGCCGCTCTTCCTCTGTTGGCCTTATTCAGCGAATGTGTCTTGCACAGTGGTGGAAAGTTTGACTTTTGCCAGCTGCAACAGTGAGGTCTCGAGTCAGGGCGAGAGCAGAAGAAGCAGCGAGGGGGAAAGGGAGAAAAAGTGATCTTTGCATGCAAACACAGTCCTTCCTACAGGTAAGCAGAGAAGGTGAAGGATGACAGAAAAAGATTTGCACTGACAGCTCAGGGACTCAATTGGGCTACCTCCTGTTGCTAGGAACAGCGAGGTGGGAGGGCAACAGGAAGTGGAGGCGAGATGTGCCGAGGTGATCAACAGGGGAGACAGGAAGTGTGGTGGAGAACCACGACGGAAACCTCGCTTTAGCGCTTTCTTCATTTGCTTTCTTGCTGTGACACTTGCTCAGAGCAATGTGAACAGAATGTGCCTCTTCAATGGAGAGATCTTACACCTTCCTCCTTCCCTCTCTCCTTAGCTGACTGTCATTTGGTCGTATTTTAAGAGGACATGACCTCAGACGTTGAATCAAACATCCCCGCACTAACAAACACAGAAAACACAAACAGTTACTGTGTCTTCAAGCCTCCTCTCTCCACTCCACTTTTTTTCTTCCTCTGTCGCTCACTGTGCTGTTTCTCTGTACTGTTGGTGGAAGGCGGCGGAAGACCACATGTTGAGGCTGTTAGCCAAGAGGAGAGACGAGAGGCAGATGACTGTTGCACCAACAAACTTCAACTAGCCCTGCACATGACTTCTGGGAAGCTTTTGTGCTAACTGTATAAATCCATTATTGAGCAAAAAAGCATGCTGGATATTTGTCTCTAAAGGTCTAATACTTGCAAGAGGCCTGGAGTCTCCACTTAAGCCCTGTTCAAATCCACAGACATTTTATTTTGAAGTGCTGCCCGAGACCTCAGGGTTCCATAAATACCAATAATGTTCCGAGGACGTGAGTATAAAAAAGATGCACAGGCATTTCCCTCTCATGAGACATTGCCAGTTTGGAGCTCTAGCTTCCTTGAGGGCATAACACAACTCAATATTCAGGGTTCAATGGGTTTATTTACTTGAAGCTTTGAGGGATATGAGAGTCAAATAATTTATCATTTTGAAAAAATACATTATATATGAGAAAGATAGAAATGTACAATTTAAAATTGAGGTACAAGGCATTATGTATACGGAAGAGGATTAGGGGCCACATAAAACATTTTTTGTGAGGATTTGAAAAAAATATTATTATTTTTTTGTTCTGAGAAAAAAGTCAGAATTTTGACTTTAATCTCAGAATTCTGACTTTTTTACTCAGAACAAAAAAAACATTTATTTTTTGTGGGAGAAAAAAAAATCAGAATTCTGAGATTAAAGTCACATTCTGACTTTTTTTTCTCCCAAAAAAAATAAATATTTTTTTCAAATCCTCACAAAAAATGTTTGATGTGGCCTAATCCTCTTGCCGTAATGTTAACCATAAAAAAACAATGATGCGATAATTTATGAATTCATGACATTTGAACTCTTCAGACGTTTATCATTTTCATAAAGCCCCATTCTTTTATACTTTTAGACTACAATCATTATTATCTTCATCATTGGTTCATCTGTTGAGTATATATATTTGTTGGAGTTGTAACGAGGTTATCCTTAGAGAATGTGTGATAAACATTTTTTAAAGTAATAGATTTTTGAACATACTGTTTGTGAAGTATCATTATGATATGTCTAATAATTTAGCGTAAAATTAAATAAAGTTACTGGTTAAAATGAACGTACACTAATCAATGAATAGATTATTATAATTGTTTTAAATTCATATCTGTCCATGTCTGATCAATTCATTAGCTGATCATTTTAGTATTAGTTTCAGCACTCGACTTTAGTTTTTGTAAAATTGCAAAATGTTTGGCATTGATCTCTCTCTAATGTTTTGCGACCTTTGACCTCAAGACTTGACGTGTAACTTTTTGTATTTGTCTGTTTCAGAGCTGAAATTGAAATGGTCCAAACCGATGTGAGTGAACTCGAGACACGATTAGAAAAGGTGAGATACATAGACCTACACACCCCATTATAATATCGTACTGAGTCACTGTCTGAAAAGGTTTCCAGTACTTCACACACAGTTATCAGTTACATGCTGCTCGTGTGTCGAGGTAGTGAAGTGAGAGGTGGGCGGCGGTTGTTGAGGTATTTTTCACCTGACAGTGAGCAGGAAGTAGCTGCAGGAGACGCTTCCCTATCATTGTCCCAAAACAGTGAGAGCTACTGTTGTTCTGCTTCTATGTGATAACATATTCCCCATTATGTGTTTGTGTGAATACATGATACAGTTTCAGATCTATTCTTCTGATGAATGGGTCACATGTTGCGTTTCTGTTCCTTTATCAAAAGAAAAAGAAAGCATGGGATGTAAAGCCTTAAATGTCCCTTTTTGTTCGATAAACTATCCCTGAAAAAGTGTTATGCAAGGGAATGATTTATGTTAGCACGGAGATGCAGTGGTTAAAAAAAACTGGACTAACTGGGTTCAAACCCTTCAGGCAGCCTTTATCTGTACAAGTGTCCTTGAGCAGAAATAACAGAGTCCTTCCCATATCCAGTGTTGTTGCTCTGTTGCTGAACTCTGACCTTACTGACAAAGAAAGAAAGAGATATTTGTAAATGTTAGTTCATTCAATTCAAATTGAAAAGAAAGTATAACTCGTTATTTGTTTTTGTTCCTATGCTTCTACCATGCTACATGTTATCATGCCGTTACATGCCGATTGCAGATATCGAAGAGAAACAGACTGTAAGATAAATGTCAGCTTATTGCCAGAAATGGAGTTAGAGGTGTGAATGACACTTCAGAGAGAAGTTACCAAAATCTTATGTTTAGACCATGGTGGAGTAAGAGGTCAGTAAAGATATTACCGAGAAGTAAATCTCCTTCAAAAGTACCATGTTGATGTTGTAGTCAAAGTAGAGATAGATTAAAAACTTCTATAGGGTTGTTTAATCTATCCCATATTCAACAAACTGAACACATGTTCTGTGTGCTACATTTTAATGTGCAAAGTAACTGTAGAAGAATAAAGTAGCATCAAATGGAAATATTCATGTGAAGTAGCCTACATGTCAAAATGTCTTCAGTGGAAACAGACCTATTGACACACTGTGGCTTATCGGATATAAGCAGTGGGTAAATGTTGGATAAGCTAAAATAAACGTTAGTATATTAAAAGCTCATTCATATTCACACCCTGTGCTGGGATTAACAAGGTCATCAAACTCAATGTAGAAATACAAATTAGAAGGGAAATTACGTTGCTAATAGGCACAGCTAAGCTAACTGAAGAGGAGAGAGGTGTCAAATAAAAAGAGCATTCAACTGTAATGTAACTTTTGCTGAAGAATGTACTCTGTTTCCACAAATGGCATTTACAAGATAACAGTTAATGCTAAAATGTAGCGTAATGCAGCACAAGAAGAAATGAATCCGCAGTGTCATTTAGAAATGTCAGGTTAACAGCAACATCTATCTGAAACTTGCTAACATTAGCCAGCATAAGCTAGGCTTTCTGTCATGCTAGAGCCTGAAGCTTCAAAAACCATCATGTTCTGAATTGAGTATGGTCTTTTTTTTTTACTTCCTTTTATTACACATTTTAATTTACAACATAAATAATTAGTTGTTTCCTCTGATAACATTTACATAATCGTTCCTAAAGTGCAGTCTGTGTCACGTTACCACAGTTCTGAGAAGAGGTCTAATCAACACAATAAGTGGAAACACCTGTTTGGGTGGATCATGGCTCTTAATGGGCTTAACATTTCAAAGGCTGCGGTTTGGTGTGTATTTAACCTATTAAACCTTTTCTTCTGCTTTAAATTCAGTTTCACATATTTGGCTTGGTTTTTATATATAGGCAAGGCAAGGTTTACCTTCAGTTTGTTTTTGACTTTATATTCCACAGTGTTACTGTTTTTGTACACTATTCAAACTCAGCTACAACAAGCTAGCTAAAGAGCCGGCAAATTCACTTAGAAATTGGTAAATACCGGAACAGAGTTAAAAGATAAGTGAATATTGGACTTTCAGGTTTTATCAGTCTTATTAGGTGGCCAGAAACATGCATTCAATTAATGCTAATGTTTCTTTTTGTGTGTTGGCTATGTAAACAGGCCACTCTTAGGCGGTGTTTACACACAAGAACGAAACGGGTTGTATCTGATACTTTTCTCTCGCGTATAGCCCGTTCGTTCACACAAGGCCGTAAAGGAACCGCGGAAACGGACCCCGCAAACGATAACGGGTCCCAAGGTGGATAGATCTGCAAACTGAACGCTCTGGGGGGCCAACCGGCTCAGTGTGTACACCCTATACGTTAATTTCCTGATAACGATGAAGCCATAGCCCCACCTCTGCTGCTCACTGCTGTAGCATGGTCAGTAGCTACTGTCAGTAGCTAGTGCTACTGCTACTGACCATGCTACAGATGTTAGTGCAACATCTACAGCTCCTCTACCACAACCATCAGCAACAAGTGGACATGGAGAATTACATGAACTACATGTTGCTAAATCTACCGCGGGGCATAAACAGAAGGGCAACCATGCTCGGGGGTCTTCTTCGCTGCTTTTGGTGTATTTTGTGGCGCCACTTACAGGCCCGGCCTATGTACTACTTCGTCTCCAGCGCTTACGAGCGGTCTTGTGCGGAAGTACAGCGCCACTTACAGGCCCGGCATATGTACTACAGCGCTTCCAATGGTCTTGTGTGAACAGACACATTGTCACTAACCGATCTAAAGCTCTGCCCGATCTGCAGTGCGCATGTGCAAGATGGTCCGCCATATTGGACAACTCCGGACGGCAACCCAAGTAAGACAACATTGACACAGTGGCTTTTGGCAAAGCTCAAAAGGAAAACTCGAGAGAGATGAGAACTTGTTATTACAACGTGACTAAGTACATTGTCAGAATAAGTGAGAAATTAGCTGTATAACAGAAGTTAAATCTATTTCTCACTTATTCTGACAATGTACTTAACCCCAAATAAAAGAACCCAATAAAAAGAGTTGTTAAATAATAGTGAAGTCACGTTGTAATAACAATAACTCATCTCTCTCGAGTTTTATTTTTGAGTTTTGCCAAAAGCCACAATGTTGTCCTACTTGGGTTGCCGTCCGGAGTTGTCCAATATGGCGGACCATCTCGCACATGCGCACTGCAGATCGGGCAGAGCTGCAGATCGGGTAGTGACACACGTTAAATGAGCCGAATGCGTGTGAACGGAAGACTTTTTTGATAACGAATTCGGTCCGTTTGCGCTCCCGTGTAAATGGGGCCTTAGCTTCAACGTTAGCCAAAACAACCCTACAATGAAATGATGTGTCGGTCAGTATCATGTTAACAGCTTGTTTGACTTCAACTAAATACAGCTCTATTCTCTATTCTAATGTTGTCTTTTAACCTGGATGTAACATCAATTCAAATGTTTCTCTCACATATAAATGAAAAAGCAGCATTCAAACCAAAAATCCTTTACATTCAAGCTGTAATGCAGTTCAATGAACTCCAGACAGCATTTAACAAAAGCTAGGGGTAATATTCATGCACAGTAATTACACTATGCAACAATAACACTCTAACTCTGGCTGTTGTTTCTTTGCTTTAATGTGTGGACCCCTGGAATAACCCATAATGTTTAATTATTTCTACTGATTATGACCAACCATTAGTCACCCTAATTGGTTCTAGTTTGCTTATTCAGGATGAAATTGACTGTGGTGTTGCATGTTTGTGTCATCCAGCTTGTGAAACAATGCCATGCCATGCTGGAGGCCGGCAGAGTCTACTGCCAGACCAGCAAGAGCTTCGTCAACGGCCTGCGGGAGCTGGGACACCAATGCTCCGGGGAAAAGACCATGGAGGTGAAAAAAACCACACATGTCAAGTCACATTTACTTGAAAAAGCGTTAGTTTAATTATAATAAAAATTCCTTTATTAGTCCCACAGACATTTACAGTGTTACTGCAAAAGTGGCATAGAAGGAAAAAAATGCAAGCAATACTAAAGAGAAGAAAAGCACACATTAGTAACTATTGACTATTGCAGTAATGATTATACTATTATACGTTTTAATACAATCTGGGATATACTACTTTGTTTAATTTCTTTAACAGATTTTCTCTATACAGTAGGTAACGTTTTTGGCACAACATGGGTTTGAATGAGGCTGGATAGACTAAATTGGAACTGTAATCACAATCTGCACCATCCTACTTAACAGAGATATAATGAAATGACTGCTGTAAAACATTGAAGAGAGTTTAATCTACGATGTCTGTCCCACAGGAGTGTTTGGACAAATTTTCCAAAAAGCTGTCTATCATCTTGGAGGCCCAGGAGGTGAGTCTGTCTGTGTCTTTCTGTCTGAGTCTCTCAGCCTTTGACACCACCATCTCCATTTCTTATCCGCAGCAGTTTGTGGTCAAACAAGGCTTCAGCTCACTGTTGAACACATTTGACATTTACCAGTTATCTGTGCTCACTGCGATACATGTATCTCTGTCTCCTTTTCCCTTATTAGGAAGTGATTGAAACCACACAGAAGACGGTCAAGACGAAGCTGCAGAACTTTGTGAAAGAGTGAGAGACCTTTTTGTTCTTCATCTAGATGCACTTTTTCAGGCTGAGTCACTCCACCTCATGTCTGCTAACCATTAGCACACACATTGAATACAATTTGGGGATTATGATGCTTTCATCAGACTTCTTCTTGTGCTTTGTCTTGCGCTTATTACTGGTAATGATATGGTAGAATAGATTAGACAAACGATGTCTCATAGCCAGTGATGTGCTTTGATCCTTTGGGCTCACATCTTTCATATAACCATTTAACATCCCCCAAAAAACTGAATTGGGCATTTGGAAATCATCGACCCTATCCACTCCGTTATTTGGATCCACTCTGAACATTCAATGGGTTCTTTGTTGGGCCATTAACATCCTTTTACCAAGTTTAAATAAAATCAACCACTGGTTTTTACACAACAAAGAAATAAAGAAACCGAATACATAATATGGCCAATATAATAAAGATTGTATTTTTCTCTTTCCTTACCATCCTTCCTCCCAGGGATGTCCGTCGGTTTAAGGATGTACGCAAGGAGTTTGAGCGCGGCAGTGAATGTCTGGAGGGGGCGCTGGTGAGGAACGCTCAGGCCCTTCGAGGGAAACCTCATGAAGTGGAGGAGGCCAGCAACGCTCTGCTGAACGCACGCAGGACCTTCAGGTCGGAGGCCCTGGATTACGTCCTGGAGGTGAGAAAGAATACTGGATGAAGTAAAAATAGAAAAATACTTCTTTACTTTGTTGGGCTACTGGAAAAAAAGAGATTCACTTTAGACGATTGGTGGACTAAGTACTAAAAGCAAAAGTAATACTACCACAGACTTTTCTATTATTAATATGAATCTTGAAAGTAGCCTAGGTTATCAAAAGAAAAGTGGTAGAATACTCAACCAGACTCTTCATGTTACCAGGAATGGCACTTTATTAAGCTCTATTATATATATTTAGCATTACACCTGATATTATCCTTTGCATATCTTTTATTTTTGGCTTGTATATATATTTTTAAATGTTTTCTTTTTATTAATTCTGTATATTTTATTACTTTTCTGTCCTTAGCTACTGCTTTCTCTGTTGTTGACATCAGTGTATGCAGGTGTCCTTTGTACTATAAGTACAGCCTGCATGCAAATAAAATGTCCTACTGAAATAATAGTTACACAGCTGAAATCAGAGTACAACAAATATCCGTGTACATTTGCTGGCATAAAAACAATATGATATATAGCGGGAATTTTAACATGATAAGAAAACAATTAATTAAACGGTCAACCAAAACTGGTTAAAGGAGAAACCCAGCCTCATAACCAGGCATTCAGGTACCAAAAACAGCCTGGATAAGACACACAACAGCAGGCTAATTATAGCTGTGCTTTGCTGTTTTGAATGATAACAGGTTTGCCTCGGGGCTTCTCTCCAGACTTGTGGCTGCGGCTCCCAGAAGTTTAACTGGCTGTTGAGTTTTTCTGTTTTTGGACGGATGAACACGGTCTCAAACCACTGCTTCTTTTGTTTCAGATTAACGTCATTGAAGCCAAGAAGAAGACAGACATCCTGATGGCAGTGAGTTCACGTTGATCTATATGCAGTTCATTTTGTTGCTTGCATAAATACATGGTCTGTAAATATTTTAAATGTATGTGAGAGTTTTGTAAATACTGTCATGCTTCCTGTCAGATGTTGTCACTGATGGAGGCCCAGGCTCAGCTCTTCCAACACGGCCACCAGTCTCTCTCAGAAATGGACGAGTATAGACGAAAACTCAATGAAGAGGTAATTGCTTCTTAAAACCAGATTGTTTTCATTTCCTCTGTTTCCGTTGTATCTTTAAGCAATCGTGTTATCTGCCAATATCGCATTTTCTAAATAAATAAAAGCTGGGCAGGAAATGGAAACAAAGTGCTTACTAAGAGTCGAAGAAAAGGAAAATATTGAGCATGCGGTTATGGAGGGGTCAGTGTATCGCCTGCAGGTGTGTGCAGCAGGGCTTTCGCCTATAGATGATTAGCTTAGCGTAGCAGTGGAGGGAACTACCTACCTTGGCCTACCTTTTTAAAGTTTAAGATATACCTATTAGTAATAATTCAATTTACAAGCTTATTGTTCAACTGTGGACGTAGCTGTTGGACCCTGCTTCAAGTCGTGATGCTAAGCTAGGCTAAGTGAATCCTAGCTCTAATGATATACTCAATGCACCTACACATGTGTGATGGAGGGCATGACTAACTCATCATTTAACCTAGTCTTGATTCTGTTGCACATGACATTTTAGATTTTAAAATGTAAATGTATTTGAGCCTTTTTCCAACAATTCTTCTTATTTAAAAATAAATGCGATTTTTAAGTGGAAGGAAAATAATGAAATATTTGAATTTCCTACAACATTTTTCTTGGGTTTTAAACATTGCCTTTTTTATATTGAAAAAAATATAAACAAATGAAACAGAGTTTGCCTTTTAAGGAGAAGATCACCACATGCTGATATGAACAAGACAGCTTTCAAGTCAAAGTCAGCTTTATTGTCAAAATGTGTTATACATACAGAAATCTTGAAATACCGTTTCTCGCAGTCCCAGTGTGACATATATATACATAAGACAAGATACAAAAAGGGCCTAGATAAACGGGGTATACAACTAAAGTAATAGTAGTAATAAGTACTAGTTAATAATATTTTTTTTAAAAACACAATCCACAAGTATTCTTTAGTGCAAAAGAGAAAATGATGTTCAAAGTACAGTTTTCAGTGCAGTAGCAGCGGAGATTGGGTAGAAAAGTGACTTGTGTGTGTGTGTGTGTGGGTGTGTGTGTGGGTGTGTGTGTGTGGTGTGTGTGTGTGGTGTGTGTGTGTGTGTGTGTGTGTGTGTGTGTGTGTGTGTGTGTGTGTGTGTGTGTGTGTGTGTGTGTGTGTGTGTGTGTGTGTGTGTGTGTGTGTGTGTGTGTGTGTGTGTGTGTGTGGTGTGTGTGTGTGGTGTGTGTGTGTGTGTGTGTGTGTGTGTGTGTGTGTGTGTGTGTGTGTGTGAGAGAGAGTCCCAGGTCCATTTGGGGCAGGGAGAAAGGTAGAGATGTCAGAGGGGAGAGAGTTCAGCATCCTTCAAACATGTTATTGGTCAAAATAAACCTGAACATATTTGTGCATAATGAGATTAATGACCAACATGGGTATCTAACATCTTAAGTTTGGATGAAAGTTGCATCAGAAGAGTTCTTGGTGTCTCTCTAAGGGGCGGGGCCTAGTTACAAGCTGACATCACATTTATACTGTGACCGGAAAAAGTGAGCAACAACAGGAAATATTTCACATAGCTGTGTGTGTGTGTGTGTTTTTTAAAATTCCTGCTGTTTGACTGTCCTGTAACAAAAAAAAAACCCATTTTGCAGCCTTGAACATCAGCAGGATTATTGTGTTTTAGCGTGTTTTAAAACAGGAAATGATTTGTCAGCATTACTGACAGATCAAACCGCACAAAGGCTCTTCCTGTTTCATCAGGAAACGATAGTAGCGAGAATTATTAGATGAGAGAGGGACATTAGGAATAACACCCTGAACAGATTCCACAAGTGTTATCCTTCAGTTTGACACAGGAAGTAGGAAGAGGTACAACACTTCCTACTTCCTGGTTCTGTGAGCAAAGACTTCAGGAGTGATAACCTATTCTGAACTTGCATTTCTGACTTCATGTCATGTCGGAGAGGAAAGGAAAGGAAAAGGGGGGAAAGTTGTCCTACAGTGAATAAATGGGATGAATACAAAAAAGGAGAGACATGTGTCCGTACATCAGAGTCCATGCAATTATACCTGCGCATGTTTTCAGAACACTTGTTGGCTAATATTTTGTAAAACATGTCTTTTTTTTGTTGTAATTTTCATATTTTATGGGTTGTTTTTTTCCTTACCGAATGTATTTAAATGCAAATGGTTTCTATATACATCATAGTCTGTTAAAGATGTGTTGTTGATTTGTAGAATAGCTAAATGTTGGACTTGGTTTTAAGCCCTAATGTTGATTATGAGCTTGCTGATCAAAGTACCTACTCGCTGCCTGTTTCACTTTGAGTAACACGACAAATAAATTATACATATTCAAGCTTTTCAAAACTCTTGATGCTGCGTTATTAGAAGTGGATTCATTATATAGATCAATATTTGTGTCTGACCTCTGTGTCGGGTTCTGTTTATCAGCACACTCAGTTTGTCCTCAACTCAGCCCGGGAGAAGAGGGACATGGAGCAAAGACACGCAGCAATCAAGAAGAAGGTAACAAAACACTTTTACAGATATACATGTCTTTGTAATCCTAATGTTCAAACCACTAAAAATGTATTGACTTGTTTTGTTTAAATATTTCCAGGATGTGTCCTATGATGACTCCATCATGGATTTTAAACCGGACGCACCAAATGGGATCGCCATGGAGGGATACCTCTATAAAAGAGCCAGCAACGCCTTCAAGACCTGGAGCAGGTACGAGTTCACCCTCAACATCTCCTCCACTGAACATCTGCTTTGTGTTTTTCTCCTTCCTTGAGTCTCACAAATACTACTCAAATGTCAACTGTGTTTCTTAAGTGTTCTTTCTGAAGGCTTAATCCTTGACCTTTTTGTTTTCTCTCTCCACTCCAGGCGTTGGTTTTCTATTCAGAAAAATCAGCTGGTGTATCAGAAAAAATTCAAGGTATATCTCAGTGTCTCTATTTTTAAAGTTGCCAAACATAGAACAAAATGCTCGTAATAACATGCTCGTTCTGACTGCGTATTATTACCCGCTCTCTCAGGAACAACCTACAGTTGTGGTGGAGGACTTGCGTCTCTGCACGGTCAAGCCTAGTGCAGACAACGAGAGGCGGTTTCTGTTTGAAGTGGTCTCCCCGTCAAAGTGAGTGTGTGTGTGTGTGGGCGAGCGTGCTTGTGCAACCATGCATACGTGTATTTAAGGGAGGGCGATGAATGTTCATCAGTGTTAAGTGCTTGGATTACAGCGTCAAGCAGAAGAGGGAGGTAGGAGGTGTTTGTGAGAATTTGTACACTTGTATTTCTCATGTGTGTGTGCGTGTGTGTGTGTGTGTGTGTGTGTGTGTGTGTAGGAGTTGTATGTTGCAGGCAGACTCAGAAAGGCAGCAGCAGGCGTGGATCAGTGCCGTTCAAAACAGCATCGCATCGGCCTTTCAGGAGCACAGAGAGGACACACATAGCCCAGTGAGAACACACACGCACACCAATAATACACACACATCATCTTCTACATCTACATTTTCAGTGGGAGTTTATTCTGCAAATACGGAGGAAGCTGCGTGCATTTGTCCGTCTCCTCATTCCTCTTTTTGTGTGTCTTTCTTTGTGTGTGTGTGTTTACCAGAGACAGCGCTGCAGCTCAGTGTCAGCCAGCAGCTTGATAGGAGGGGGGAGCGGCGGGGGGGAACAGGAGAGTAAGGTCTGCAAGGCGCTGGAGGAGGTCCAGGCGATCGTGGGGAACAAGCAGTGCTGCGACTGCGGAGAGCCCGGTCCTGATTGGGCCTCCATCAACCTGGGCATCACGCTCTGTATCGTCTGCTCAGGAATACACAGGTACACACACACGCTCACACACACACCTATACACACACTTGGCTTGAAACATTATCTGTAATGCTTTCCTCCTCCAACAGGAGCCTGGGAGTCCATTTTTCCAAAGTACGCTCCCTCACACTGGACTCCTGGGAGCCGGAGCTTATTAAGGTCATTCAACCTGTTAACTGCAGCAGCAGCTACACGGCCTCATTATCACATTTCCTGTGTTAACAAGAAGTTCCACTGTGTATAATGATTATGCAATGACTTGTGTAATTGCTGTAACTAAACTCTCCTCATTTCTTTCCTTTCTTTTAGCTGATGTGTGAATTAGGAAACTTGGTAATCAACAGGATCTACGAGGCCCGCATTGATGAGATCACCATCAAGAAGCCCCACCCCACCAGTCCCAGGTACAAACTAACAGACATTACGGTGACATTTGAATGATTTCACATAATGTAATGCAGCTTAATCCTTATAGAAAGTACTACCCAGTCTGTGAAAACTGTTGTGTAATGTCTTATTTGGCTCCGGAGGACAATGACCCCCGTGATGTCATCGGGGGTCTCTTGGGATTGGACTTTAAACGCCATGTTTTCAGCAGAAAGTCTACTTTAGAAACTAGTAATGAAATAAGATGTCAGTACACATAGTGATCACATTGCAAAACATGTTAAGGGGTAAGAAATGAGGCCACACCACAATAAAGTAGGGCTGCTCAATTATGGCAAAAATCATAATTTCGATTATTTGGGTCAATAATTGGAATTGCGATTATTCATTGACTTTGAAAACATCCATTTATTGGAGAAAAAAAAATGTGAACAGTTTGTTTTTAACAGTTGATTACCCTGAACTTTAAGTATAATTCAACTGAAAAACCAAAAAAAAAAAATGTAATAGTAATAAAAAGATAATCGTTTTATTTCGATTACGTTGTTTTCGTAATCGATGCAAGCCATAATCGTAATCGCGATTAAAATACGATTAATTGAGCAGCCCTACAATAAAGCCATACTAGTTACGTACATACTTATAGAAGTTTACACATTTTTGTTTGTATTTAACATATTAATGTAATCACGTATAAATGTGTTTATTTAGCAACTGATTTGGGCAATTTTTTTTATTTGCCTGAGCTTTGGATCAAACACGACTGTTGGTATAGTTGCAAAATCACTCATCAGAGAAACACACTCTTCATCTCCTCCTGCTGTCACATTCATGGCATTATATTAAGGTTGAATTCTGCCTATTTGAACATTGATTAAAGAATCATTTGTTTCACTCTGTGTGTGTGTGTGTGTGTGTGTGTGTGTGTGTGTGTGTGTGTGTGTGTGTGTGTGTGTGTGTGTGTGTGTGTGTGTGTGTGTGTGTGTGTGTGTGTGTGTGTGTGTGTGTGTGTGTGTGTGTGTGGTGTGTGTGTGTGTGTGTGTGTGTGTGTGTGTGTGTGACTTCGCTCTGAAAGACTGATATGTGTAGAGAGCATCAGTTTCTCGTGGCTGAGCTCTAAAAATGTACCGACTGCAAAGGTCCCTGTGGGTGACGGATGATTATATCAGCAGCCTGCAACTCTTTCAGTCTTATTTTTTGACTTCCTCTTCCCCTCTCTGTTTTGTCGCAACAGACAGGAAGTGCCACAGGTACATGACACACTTCATTAACGTTGTGACTAAAATGTCCTGCGCACACTTGCTGTGAGGCTGCAAGCGTTCTGCAGTCTTGTTTTGTCTGGGCTTATGTTCTTTATTTGAATTTCCTCTGGACTATTTTTTATTCTGTAGATTGATTTAATAGCTCTTACTGTATACTGTAGACAGCATGTGCCGTAATTTAAATGAGGCATTTTCAGTCCTATATAGAGCTCTTTATAACTGAATGTATGGCTTAATTAAAAGACACTTAACGCCTCAGGGACTTGTGTGAAGCATTCTTGTCTCACAGCTGCGCAAGCAAGCTGCGGAGTCCCACTGAGAACAAGTAAAACCAGAAACACACTGACAAACACTACCCAGCATGACGGCTACTTTTGTTTGTTTTGTGGGAGAGAAATATTCATTCTCATCATCCGTTATTTCTAATCTTCCAATTTGTCGCTTAGAGGAGACAAGGAGTCATGGATCCGGTCAAAGTACGTTGATAAGAAGTTCATCCAAAAGCTGCCCGAGACCGGCAGGCCGGCCCTGCAGAGGAGGAACCGAGCGCTCACTCAGGAGAGGAACACACAGCGTCCGCCGCTCAAACCCAAGCCGAACCGAGCCACGCTGCCTCGTCTCCCAGGTAAACACAGTCAGGACTGACGGGTGGAAAACCAGCGGGCTTTAGGGGGTCTAACAACCCAGCTGGCTGCTTGTTGTCCAGCGCATCTCTCTTTAAACTCCTGCTGATGTCAACCAAACACAAACACACAATCCCCAAAGTTGGTGAACCAGCAGAAGTTGGTAATCCTAAAGGCTGCTGTATTATATGTGTGTGTGTGTGTGTGTGTGTGTGTGTGTGTTTTGTTGCAGTCAGCGGGTTAAACCAATAATCCTGCCTCTATCTCTGCCTTTCCTCAGGACTGAGCCCCAGCCCCACTGACCTTGTCCAGAAGAACAATACACACAAAGGTGAGATAAAACATGAACGCACACTGATGCATCATTGGTAAATGTGGCCTCTACAGGAAGAGGAAGTAACAGTGTCAAAACCTAACTTTCGCTCTGATAAAACTAAAAGTTGAACCTTTGCTCACTTCAGAAGTGGAGGAGGAAGAGGAGGAGGACCTGAGCGGGCTGCACCCCGGGGCGCTGCTGTATCGATCAGCAGCCCTGCAGAACTTCCCGGTCATGGCCGACGCTCTGGCCCACGGAGCCAACGTCAACTGGGTCAACGTGACCGAGGAGTCCAGCACGCCTCTGATCCAGGCCGTCTCTGCGGTGAGGAGGGCATTACATTCAGCTTTAGCATATCATGTTACGTTTGACAACATCCAGAGAAACCGTTTCTTTAGCTGCACTCGGCTACCTGGCTTTCCATGCATCATTTTGCAGCCTTTAGGGCACATTCACCGCTAATCTGTAGAACGAGGTGATAGTTCAGAGACCATGATGTAAGTTGTGTGTGTGTTAAAAATACAATTTTGGTTTTCTTACCAGAATGCCCTGGCAGCCTGCGAGTTCCTGCTGCAGAACGGAGCGAACGTTAACCAGGCAGACAGCAACGGGAGAGGACCGCTGCACCACGCCACCATCCTGGGTCACACTGGGTAGGACACACACACACACACACACACACACACACACACACACACACACACACACACACACACACACACACACACACACACACACACACACACACACACACACACACACATGCTGTATCACACTCACTTTTATAAAAGATTACCAACACAGTGACAAAGAAAAGGTGACACAGTGAATAAAGCTGAATTCTTTAGTCAAGGATCCATCATAAGTACAACTTAAAGGGGACCTATCATGCAAAATGCACTTTTGTACGTCTTTTATACATGAATATGTGTCCCTGGTGTGTCAGGGAACTCACCAAGTGTCAGAAAACACAACCCTCTCTCTTTTCCTCCATACCCAAATCTCTAAAAACGGAGCTGATACAGACTGATCCAGATTTGAAATTGTTCTGATGTCAGAAACGGGGTGCTCCGCCTATCAGGGGAATGAGAGGTTGCGTGGCATGGATGGTAACAGCATGGTAACAGCATGGTAACAGCATGGTAACAGCATGGTAACAGCATGGTAACAGCATGGTAACATGACGCTTGTGCCACGCCCCCCTCCTTTGCAGGGGGGCGTGGTCAGCTGCAGCTCATTTGCCACAGAATCAGCCCTTGCAAAAACAGGGCTGGAAAAGAGCAAATAGAGCGAAATGAGGTATGGCTAAAATGCATGATCTGTTTGGTATTTTGAAAAAAAAACGTCACAGACATGTTTTATATAGGTATGGCCCTACAATATATTATTCCAATATAGCATGATAGGTCCACTTTAAAGATATTTTAAAAACGCCATCAGGGTGACAACACTGACTGATCTCGTACGCAAAAATAAAGATAAGTATGCAGACAAAACCTCAAAGATTAGAAAAATACCTATTCTTGCAAATAATTTATGTTTTCGCCCCTTGATTCTGGTCCAGTGCAAAATAATAATAATAATAATAATAATTTCAATTTATATAGCGCCTTTCACGAAACCCAAGGACGCTTTACAATGGGAAGTAACAAAACAAAAAGTAATAATAAAGATACATAGGCTGAAGAAAACAAAAACAGGAACAGGTTGCTGAGTACTGTATATTAGTTGAGGCCAAAGGCCTGAGTGAACAGAAAATGTAATGGGTTCCTCCCTTGGCCACTTAATACATACTTGTACATTCCACCAAGTTTAAGGAAAAACTTGCTAGTGCTTTTCATGTAATTCGGCCTACAAACAGAGAGATAAACCTTATCCTCAGATAAATAGACACAGGTCAGAGCCTTAAGCAGAAGTGCAAGTGTAGAAAAACTGGTTACGTATACATACTTCTACACACACTCAAAGAAAACGTGTTTCGCAGTCCAGGAACGCCCAGGGCCGGAAACAAAGCTAAGTAGATTCACCCTGTTTGCCCATGTAACATGCCTGTGTTGTAAAGTGTTAAATCCAAGCACAAAGAACGTGTTGAACACAAATAAATACAAAAGAGGCTCCTATTGAGGAGTTAGTCATGGTCTCAAAGCATTAAATAACTTTGTGCAGTTGATTTATTCATAGTGATGTCAAATATTTCATTCCAAGGCAGATAACATGAAGCCCATGTTTTACTAACTGTACTGATTATCAGGAAGTCTGTCTAATTTTTTTGCAGACTTTAATTTAAGAATTCCATTTTTAATGTACGTTGAAAATCAGCGTTGTGAAAGTTTATGGTCCTAAGTACCTTTTCGGCTCCACAAACTAAAAAGCCAGAGGGACTTCAACTCAGGAAAAGAACCTTCAAACTGATTCTTGAAATGTCCTGGCTACAGAATGGAGGATTTCGTCGGTCAGATCATTGTTTTTAGACTTGGGCGTCAATGCACTATGCTAGTCACACACACTCTCACACACTTTCTGCCTCTCTTTTCTTTCCCAGGTTGGTTTGTCTCTTCTTGAAGCGAGGAGCAGACTACAACGCCACAGACAAGACACAGAAAGACCCCATATCCATCGCCGTGGACACCGCCAACGCTGACATTGTCACTCTGTGAGTGTCTGAGTCAACAACAAAACAATAAGTGACGATATAAGCTGTATAACAACATCAGCTTTTCTAACTGCTCTGCTCCCTTTCAGGCTGCGGATCGCCAAAATGAACAAGGAGATGCGGGAGATGGACGGAGCGTTTGGCCAATCAGGTCACTCGGGGGGGCATGGGTCTGGGGGTTCAATTGGAGGGACAGGAGGTGGGCGGGCTCACACCAGAAAGAGCCTACAGGCGATAAAGAACCATATAAGTGGCTGGGCTCTGGGGGGGCATAATGATTAGAGGGGATACCAAGAGACAGGCAGTGGGACTGATCAGCTGTTTCTGATTGTAAGCTAAACGTTATTAAACATCACAATCACTGGTTTTGCAGTGTCATGTGGTTTAAGACATATCATTTAAGGACAGATAAAAATGTAATTGCCTTCATTTAGAAAGCATAAAATCAGGATCTTGTAAACCACGAGAACCAGAGCACAGGGTACGACAGCGTAAAGGAAGCAATAACAGATTTAATATATCGGTAAATACAGGAGAATGTCTGGTGAAACAGAAAGGGAGAGTGATGGAAGTCCACATGCACTTTTAATTACAAACGCACAACATCCTGCACTTTGAAAACCCTTCACAACACCTGTATAGACCTCTGTCAGGCCTATTTGATCTGATACTGTGTATTTTAGATATCTTTTAAATACAATATGTACAGTGTTCTGTTTTTATTGTGTATATTTAAATTGGGCTCTTCAGTCCAGTTGTGTAAGCTACATTTATTTTTGGGTTTCTCAAGGACGGTTTTATCCTGCTATTCTGTGAATAGCGACGCAGTGTGTTATGTATAAGAGTCGCAGCTCCGACTGCAAGCTTAAGGTTAACAGCGGGTTTGTTTGCATTTTGTCATGTGGCTCCTTCTCAAGCTGCAAAGTCCATTCTTTCATGTCCTTTAAGTGGCTTTTTGTGTCTCGTGTAAGCTGTAATCTATCCACTCGTGAAGGAATGGAAATGTGATGCTTTTTTTTTTTTCGTGTGCTTGAAAACAAACTGCTGGTCAGTATTTTACGTGCTTTATCAATGTGTGTCTTTGTTGTGTGCACTCTTCTGCCCGCTGAGATGCCCAGCTGCTCTCAACTGCTTGTGCAGTGTGCCACCTACTGCAAACTAAGAGGTAAAGTGCATGTGTGTTTATTTGTTCACATGCATGCTTTTGCTTTGGGGCTACAACCCTTAATGTGTTCAGGGAATAGTTGGCAGGCCTGTAAGACTGAATTTCTCTCCTGGAGAGTTATCCAGAATAAAATATATGGTTTAAACAAGAGAAAGGCATTCATTTAACTGCTTACAATACTTTTAAATGTCAAGCTTTAAGGCTAATGTCTTCTTCTTTTTTCTGTTCCAGGTGATGAAACCTACCAGGATATATTCAGGGACTTTTCTCACATGGCCTCGAACAACCCAGAGAAGCTCAAACGCCGCAGTGCCGATCCCAAATCGTACCCTGCCTGAACCACATTTCACACGATCGTGCTTTCCATCACACAGAAAACATGTATCATAGTAACTTCACGGCATGCAGACACACATTTCTCCTGGCCGCCCGCCACATGTTTAGTCATAGCTCAGCTGGTGTTGATTTCAGAGGGGATGAACGCTCCGAACAGGGAATTCTTTGTGTGACACGTCAGAGCAGAACAATGTGGGAACACTGGAGCAGCTTAATGAGAGCAGCATGAGGTGTCTTTATGTGAAGCAGAGGGAAACGTCATCACTCTGCCAAGGTTTCTTAATTAAATCTGGTAAATCTTTTATTTTCTTTAACTAAAAGGGCTTTTTTTATGATCCTCTGCCATTTCTATACAGTTGTTACGTGAAAAAGTGAAAATGTGTTGCAAATTGTACAATTGTCATGTCAACTGTCGTCCAGGGAGTTGTAATGTATACAGCTTTTTACATTTGGGATTTTTTTTTGGCACCTTTGCTTGAGGTACTTGAGTTTTTGTACAATGATCAAATAAACTGCAATACAAACATTACAAGTGTGTGGAGGTTTATCTTTTACAGTAGTATTGTGTGCTGTCATGAGTACGTTTCCCCAGCAGAGGGCGCCCTTGTGTAAAAACAATCATAATTCCTGCTTAAAAAGTTTATGACAGACAAAAAAGGACAACGTGGAGATGTGTTTGAACACAAATACATTGCCTTTTAATCAACATTACAAAACAAAATCGGCTTTGGATCATTCACCTGCCAGGATAACCTGGTTAAGACTTATTTCCAACCTCCAGCCCTTCCATTCAGTAGCTGCCTGTGTGAGCAAGAGTCATACTTAGAAGTCACATGACATGAATTGAAAATGTGCCAGAGGGTCACACTGACTCTCTGGTTGCAGTCCAATAGTCCATTTAGTTTAGGAACCTTCCTATCAAGTGAAATTAACCCACCCGAAGTACGTCACTGGCAGCCATGATAAGTGCCGTTCCAATTCTCCAAATGAAAGGAAAGGAGGTTTCAAACTTCCTTTATAACCTCCTTTGGCTTAGGAACCACTGGACCTCCCTAACCGAAAGGAGAGGAGAAATGCTGCCCCACAATGCATTGCAGCCGCAGCATTTGCCGTCACACAACAGTCGGCCGTTCACGGAAACAACCGATTATGACCGAGAAATGATATCATGAAAGTTACGGTGCTTATTAAGCATTTTAAAACGTATGTGGTAAGTTGCCACAGTCTGAACGTTAATCAGTATTATAATCAAAAAGAGAAATATGAACATTAGTTTTTACTGAAATTGTCAAATAAAGTCAACATTTCACTGAGCTGTGTGGAGTTTGTTAAACTTTAAAAGATGTTTGAATGGTGATATACACAGTGATAGATGTTAAGGACTAACGTTTATAATAAATACATTTGTATTGATTTTAAGATATTTTAATAGTTCATACAATCATACGTATTGGGATCATTTGTATTAATATGGACCGGAGGGAGAGGGTGACGAGCATAAGTTTCACTTTCCTTTTTTATTTCAATTCCAACTTTGGTCATGAAGAATATGTTTCTCTGTTGTCCACGTTCATAAAGCATAAGCAACAGCATCAGAGCACGGTGCAGAGTCTCTAGATGAGTTTACAGTAGTCCGTAGTTCTTATTGAACATCCATGTTGTAGTCCGCTGTATAGAAAACTGTAGTTTCCATAGTTTCCCCACAGCAGCAGACGCACATTCATGACGTCCGCTGGTGCATCATAAACACGTCGGATAGTGAAAGTGCATTCGGATTCTCTAAAGCAGTGTTTCACAAACTTTTCATACCAAGGACCACTTAACCAATAAAAAAACACTCGCGGACCACCTAACTCCACAAATATAAAAAAAACACATCGTTTTTCTAGAACAGATTACAAATCGCCTGAAAATGGTAAAAACAAGTGGCAACATGTGTGATGAAGGTGTTGCACTGGGCTATATCATGCAATCAAAAGTTAAACTTAACCTCGCTCCATTGTGGAGATATTCCCGCGAGAGTGGCGGAAAACTGAAATGTATTTATTTATTTCAAATGTGACATTTTACCAATATACTCACGGACCACTAGGGGGCGCTCACGGACCACACTTTGAGAAGCACTGAGTCTAAAGTACCGCAGTCTCTTCTCCTAAATCCTTTTGAATTCTCCTATCCACTATCCCTTAACCCCGTGACGTTTCACTCAGAGGTCAAGGAATAGGAGATAGGGTTAGAATTTAGGAGCTGATTTTTGGATTATCGGAACGCAACCTCTGTCATGCCAACCTGTTTTTGCTTTACAAAAAGTACAAAGTGCTCAATCATCAATGATTCTGTCAACAAAATTAACTTGTGAAATACGAGTCTTGTAATGAGCAACATGATGCCTCGATTAAAAGTAAAAATTAGTTCTGCTAAGAAAATTCACTTTCTTATAATCATTCATCTTTATCCATCAATTACACAGGAGTGTAACAACTAACACATTGAGATTTTGGAATGTTATAAAAATATGCACAATATTAACAGAAAGGCTAAAGGACTCCCGAGGCACTAATAAACGTCGATGTGTATTTGCAGTGTGTACTTTGTGTTTTTTGGAGATGTACACACACAATACAGACAGCAGGAGTGACGCGGTGAAATAATCCAGCCATTCTGATGAACCATATCTTTGGTGCTCTGTCATCCGTGCCTCATTAAAATAACATTTTAAATAACAATAGTGAGATAAATCATGCAAGTGCAAAATTGAAATATGCTGGTCAGTGATTCAGCATGTTACATTCAGATACACACAAACAACTGATTCTAAGTTCCTTTGTGAAGTATAGAGAAACAATAAAATCATATATTTCACATTTTCCTACACATTTCCTATCGTGCATGCCATCTACTGTGCATATAAAGCAACACATCGGTACATTGCAAAATAAATGGCTGAAATGCCTAATGTTTATTATAGGCAGACGTTGCTGGCCTACATATTAAACTGAGGTTAGGATGTGTAACAGAGTCGGGAACACTGGCCTCCAGCTGTCGGAGTTTCACAGTAAGCCTCTTTCTTCTTTGGGTTTGAATCTTTGAGGTATAAACACATAGCCATTTGGCGGCTTTTTTAGGTAGCATATTAACTATATGTGTCTTCAGGAAGGCGGTTATTGGTTACTTCCCCTGTCAGATCATTCATGTCTGAAGGTGAACTATGCATCTGTTCCAGCTCTGCATGTAAACCCTTATCTGGGTCCTCAGGTGAGAGGCTTTTGGGGGGCGGGGGATCCTTACGGGAGAAATAGTGAGGCAGGGTAACCATGGTCAGAGTACCGAGAACAACGAAACCTCCGCAAACCATGAAGGACGCCGTGTAGTCCCCCGGTGATGTCCTTCAGTAACCCTTGGGAGACAGAAAAACACAGGAATTAGAACAAAAGAGCATAAAGATTTGCCTGAGAGGTTTTACAATTCTGAGGAGAAACTAGGAAGACGCTAAATGCTAGCCTCATGCTAATTCAGAAAAACATTATTCCAATGAATACAAGATAGAAGAAGCCCTGTTTAATGTTTAACAAACAACTAATGTCATTGCTTTTATTCAGTTGTATGTAGTTTAATTAGGTCTAATTAAATCTAACTAACAAAATCAAGCGCAGGGTTGCGTTCCGATAATGCAAAAATCAGCTCCTAAATTTCTAACCCCTATCTCCTATTCCTTGACCTCTGAGTGAAACGTCACGAGGTTAAGGGATAGTGGATAGGAGAATTCAAAAGGACTTAGGAGAAGAGACTGCGGGTACTTTAGAGAATGCACTTTCACTATCCAACGTGTTTATGATGCGCCAGCGGACGTCATGAATGTGCGTCTGCTGCTGTGGGGGAAACTATGGAAACTACAGTTTTCTATACAGAGGACTACAACATGAATGTTTAATAAGAACGAGGGACTACTGTAAACTCATCTAGAGACTCTGCACCGTGCTCTGATGCTGTTGCTTTGCTTTATGAACGTGGACAACAGAGAAACATATTCTTCATGACCAAAGTTGGAATTGAAATAAAAAAGGAAAGTGAAACTTATGCTCGTCACCCTCTCCCTCCGGTCCACATTAATACAAATGATCCCAATACGTATGATTGTATGCACTATTAAAAGATCTTAAAATAAATACAAATGTATTTATTATAAACGTTAGTCCTTAACATCTATCACTGTGTATATCACAGTCAAATAAGTTCGAACAAACCCCACACAGCTCAGTGAAATGTTGACTTTATTTGATAATTTCCGTACAAAACTAACGTTCATATTTCTCTTTTTGATTATAATACTGATGAACGTTCAAACAAAGCACTTTGGCAACTTACCACATACGTTTTAAAATGCTTAATAAGCACCTGTAACTTTCATGATATAATTTCTCCCATTATCGTTTGTGTCCGTGAACGGGCCCGACTGTTGAGTGACGGCAAATGCTGCGGCTGCAATGCTATTGTGGGGCAGCATTGTCTCCGCTCCTTTCGGTTAGGGAGGTCCAGTGGTTCCTAAGCTAAAGGAGGTATAAGGATTTGAAACCTCCTTTCCTTTCATTTGGAGAATTGGAACGGCACTTATCATGGCTGCCACTGAGGGACTTCCGGGTCATTTCACTCCGTTAGGAAGGTTCCTAAGCTAAATGGACTATTGGACTGCAGCCTTGGTGGACTGATGAAGCTAATGCAGCTGGAGCAGGAGCCTCAGCTGGTTGTCTATTATGACAAGTCAAAATGTTGTGCTGTGAATACATCTGGGAATAGTGTTCTTTTGTCGCTAACACTATCAAGGTCAGCCGTAACAAAGTTTATCAAGAACGAAAGCAACATGTAAGAGACAGGATGGAGAGACTTTGAGTGAGTCAGTGGTGAGTGTGTTTTAGTTTCTTAAAGGAACTGTACAGTTCTACTGAGGAAAAAGTTCTTTACTTTATTAATGCTTTAGCTCCAACATCAAATACCATTCATTCCGATTGTTATTGGGATAGAGTAGCCTATCTGAGTAGCTATCTGAGTAGCAATGGTACCGTTAAGGTTAGGTGAAGAAGAAATAGTTTTTTTGTAATCTGGGTGCACTGACACTTTAAGACATCTTGATCAATTTTCAACTGCTACACCCTCCCACTGTATGTCAGTGACCTGTGTTTTTAGTCACACTCAAAACATCTGTAATGGGGTAGGGCATAATAACCTGTGATGAACTTCCCTATAACTTTTCGTAATTATGGTTTCATATCAGCTTTGTTGATAGAAAATGAAAAACTGGCATTTCCCTCTTTTGGTTCATCATGACATCTTCTCAATTTGAGGCTCTCGATGTTTATGAGCTGTTTGGTTTCTGCCGCGGCCCCTGTATTCAAATGAACAAGTTCCTTTTTCTGGACTGTGAATACTTGATCGTAAAAACGATGTAACCTCTGTTGAAGGGTTTGAATACCCACTTTAATTTCAAGCATAGTAGGTTTGGATTGGCACTTCAAATGGCGGACCCTCCACATGAGTGCAAGTGGGTAGTGTAGGGATGTGTTACAATTGGAGTGGAAAAAGAAGTGACTGATAACTAAATTAAAGGTCACCTATTGTGCAAAATCCACTTCTTCATGCCTCTTCTACATTCAACATGTGCCCCTCTGTGGAAAGAGATTCTGAAAGTTTCAGGAACAAAGATTCCTCTCTTTTTGTCCTGATCCATTTCTATAAAAACCTGTCTGAAAATGAGCTGATCAGATTTTGGCCACTTTATGACGTCATAACGATTTTTTGGCTTGCGTAACCATTAGCCAGCAACCAAGGTAACCCCCCCCCCCCCCTTATCACCTGAATCTCCTCCTAGAGCACCATTGTGTTCTTTCTAACCAAATATCTCTCAGAGGGGCGTGGGAGGGGCTCCTTATTTCCATCTAAAGTAACAGACAGATAATCAGCACTTTTGAATCAGGGCTGAAACAGAGGGGATTATGGGATGCTGCAATGATCTGTTTGGTGTTTGGAGCCAATCACTTCAGAGACATGTTTTGTATATATCTGAGACCTGTAATATATTGATAAAAAAAAGAGTATGATAGAGGACCTTTAATGTTTGACTACTTGTATCATATGTGTGTGATTTAGGTCACTTTAGATAACATTGGAGATAAAATGGTGGCAACCAGAGCCATCAGTCTGCTTGTACCTGACAGTGGGGCCCCCAGCAGTCCCGCGCCGCTCTCGATCAGCTGCAGCAGCCCGAGGGCCCCCATCATGCGCTCCACGCCCACAATCATAGGCACCACCGCGAACACCAGGGAGGTCAGCGCCCCGGAGCAGAAGCCGTAGAGCAGGCTGATCACCATCAGAGCGGCGTACGATCCGGACAAGGAGCTCACGGGCAGCAGCATGATGAAGACCCCGGCCAGGGTGGTCCACACACTCAGCAGGTGGATCAGCCGGAAGTGACCCAGGTCTGAGAACCAGCCCGACGCTATGCGACCCAGAATGTCCGTAGCACCGGCGGCAGACATGACGAAGGCAGCCTGGTACTCCGAGAAGCCCACTTGGCGGCTGTGGGCCACCAGGTGGAAATACGGCACGAAGTAGCCCACGTTAAGAAGACTGATGGCCAACGTGTAGGTGATGTACGGCCGCTCGAACAGCAGTGGCAGCTCCAGGTAGGAGGAGGCTCTCTGCAGGAAGGAAGCACAGGATACTCCGCTCTCTGAAACCACCTGGGGGAGGGAAAGGAGGAAATGCTGAGATGTATTTTCGCTTAATAACATCACTTTCATCTTTCCTATTTCAATCAGTATGCTAATCCATTTCTGCTGGGAACAGTTGACTTAGTCTGGAAAGTACACGGTTTTAACGACCGTAACATGAGAAAATCGTAAGAAATTGTCATCATGCTGAATTTTTGAGTTACGTCCAACATCATGTTTTGTGAGCTCACTGTACTGTTGACCTTTGTACATCAGATTTGTATCAATTCCTCATTAATTCAAGTTGGACATTTGAGTTGTTGTCAGGAGGCTTGTCCCACCTTTGCTGGGGCTTTAGAGCGCCTCTGTGGGCCGATGAGAGCCCCACAGGGCACAATGTTGAGGCTGAGGCCCCCCAGGATCAGGAGGGCCCCCCGCCAGGTGTACAGCTCCACCAGCAGCTGGAAGAGCGGGTTGAAGGCGAAGGAGGAGAGGCCGATGCTGGAGAACGCCAGCCCCAACGCCAGGGTGCGCCGGCGGGTGAAGTTAGCCATGACTGTCGCCACCATGGGAGTGAAGACCAGCCCCCAGCCCAGACCTGCAGGAGAGGGGAGAGAGACCCTCAGTGAGAGGTCAGTTGTTCAACCTGAGATGACATAGGTTAACAGTTGACTAGGTAAACAACCTAAGCATCTAACAGCAAAGACAGGACTGGAACAACACTAAACCAGTTATTGGTGTTGGAAGACTCTGTTACCTGAAATGACTCCCATAGTGAGGTAGAGGTGAACCAGACAGGTGGCCTGCGAGGCAAGAATGAGTCCGAGTGCAGCCAGGCAGCCCCCCGTCATCACCACCCACCGGGTGTCATATGCATTACACAGCGCTGCACCCAGAGGACCTGCAAAACACACATCAGCTCCATTAGTCAAAGCCATTTAGCATAAAGCCTGTCACAATCTAACCAGCCACAATGTGCATGCTATTGCTAACACATAGATGTAGTTCAAATATGAAGGCCATTTTAATTGTAAACCCATAGCTACTTTCATTTCTATTCTGCTTCAGCTTGCTCCAGCACTTGTTTACACTGAGTGAAATATTTAATCCCAACCCTAACTCCCACTGACACTTTTAAATATAGTTTGCTAGGTTTGAATAATGTGAGCAAGAGTTTGTAATGAGTGACCTAATGGGGCTTATTTAAAGGGTTAATGATTTGCATCTCTTTTCACATAAAGTTTTTTAAATTCTTTAAATAGTTTGCTTCTCTTAAGTTACACCTCATCCTGTTAGTATAGATTTAGAGAAAGTATACACAATCATGTGTGTAACTCATATAAAGTGAAAAAAGTATTGGCATCAAAATATATTTAAGTACCAACAGTAAAAGTACTCGTTAGGCATAATGACCCATTCCTGAATTGTGTATATAATTATTGTGATAGATTATAGATGCATTATCACAGCTGGTAAAGGTGGAACAATTGTATATACCAATACTGGATATCTTAGCCTATGTTAACATGTAAATGTTTATTTTTAAATTGGTTTATTTAGAATTTGTATAAGCTAATAGTCTGAATCTAGAAAGTACCTTAAACTGTCAGATACATCTAGGGTACTAGAGGTATAAAGCAGCATGACCTGAAAACACTCAATTAAAGTCCCTCGAATTCTACTTAATCCTTAAGTATATGTACTTCACTATATTCCAGCAATCAATCAATTACAAACCATAAATGCCCAATTGAACTCATGACTCACTGAAGAACTGCTGAGCTGCCAGGCCGGTGGAAGAGATCCAGGAAATGGCCTGAGCGCTCTCATCAAAGTATTGAACAAACTCCACAAAGAATATCCCCAAGCTTCTCATCAGGCCGAACACGAGGCTGGTGCTGACGAACAGCGCGCCCACCAGCACCCAACCATAGCCCCCATCAGGACCCTCGCCCTGGCTCTCTGCTTTGGGCCTCAGCTTGGTCATGTCTGTTGAAGGAAAAGGGCAGAAAGGAAGAGAAGTGAAGCTCTGGAGGTATCAGCCTCAGGAAATGCAAGTGTCACACGCCTCAGATCCTCTCTGTGGTTGTCAATAGACATAATGATTAACTTCCCACAGGCCAGAGTCGCTGGTTGTGTCATCTAAGTGCAAGTGGGCTGTTTACCCTGACATTCTGACCTTCATTTGAGAACGAGATGTACTGTAGGTGAGAGGGGAAGTCTAAATGCTTAAGTTTGTATTGATCAGCTATGGGGAAACCGTTATGTCGCCAGGGAAAGACAAGAAACTCCCTTATTAGATTAGATTAGATTACAAAAGTAGTCTGCAGAAGTGACACAGAAAATGAAACGGGGTGTAATTAAATTCTTCAAGTGTGACTCACATAGCTTATTCCTGCATTAATTAGCAACATTAGCTTAATTCACAAGGGTAGTGATATCTATTAGCCACATATGGTCCACTACAAATCCACCCTTAAAGTGTTTATCAATGTCAGACACACTTTCGTTTCTCCATTCTAATCTGTGAGCATGCTGTATATGTAGATCTATTTGAATAATGTCACTGTCAAAAATTATATAAATATGTTCCTTAGTTACAAATATAGTATGCTAAACCCAACATATAGCCTATATCCAATTCGAATTATTTTTGCTATAAGGTGAGCAGTAGCAGATTTCACCTCTGCTGCTGAATTTGGTTTCTGTTAGTTGAATATAAGCCAAAGCAACAAGAAGCCCAACCCACGCCATTCATAACCAAATGCCACTCACCTCTCTGCTGCAGGAATTACAGGAATGTGCACCCAGCACTCTCTCAAACACACATGCACAAAACCCCTTGTTCATTTCTGCAAATACAATGCCTTCAAATATGGTTTCATATTTGTTCAAGACTGTTTGTGTATCTCTATTGTGTTTTCGAAATGGCTGTATAATTTCAAACCTACCTGCTGAATTAAAGGGTGCAGGGGTTGAGGTAAACGCACCAGGGTAATGCAGATCTTTACAAAAGGGTAATTGCACAGGCATTTGACCCAAAAACACTCGATTGAGTCCTTTTTATAATGTTTCTGGGAATTTGAGGATAAGCAACCCGTGAGGTGTTTACATTCAACCATTTAATTAAAAGGAACAGTCTTTATGATTTCCTGGTTACACCTTGTTATTCTTATTCTTTAATGGTTTGATTCATTAGTTAGTTCCAGTACTATAAACACTGATAACCAGTTATAAACGTGTATTGGTGCATGCATGATACTACAATTTGGACATCAGGGTTTAAGTACATAGATACACACATTCACACTCAAAATAGTATTGCCTTTCCTCCAAGCATCTTCATTCATGATCAAGAACCCAGCCATAGACAGGTACACAGGCGGGAACGCGCAGTAGAAACAGTGCATGTGGCCTGTCCAATAATTAAGGTACGTAAATGACGTAGGCTTCAGCGCCTGCGCAGTGGTGCTCGCACACAGCTGTATTAGACCTTACAAACACAATGTTCGCCAGTATATTACCGTATTTTTGATGTTATAGCGTCAATGTATAGAGTAGCTTATCTTAAAATGGTTTTGCACCTGTCGCTTGCATGGTCTTTGGATATTTAAAGTGAGGTCCGTCCTGATAACGTTTACTGTTAAATGAAACGTCTCATAACCCGTGACTGATAGAAACCGTTCATGTCAACGTCTATTATGCATTACTATTGAACTCATTTATAAAGGTTTACAGGCTTATACAAGCTGCATTACTCACCTTCGGTCTGTCAGCTCAGCTATCTCTGGAGCAGCACATGGTCCACAGTGTCCAAGTT